CTCGCAGCCCTACAGGCAATCAATCTGGCAAAACTCACAGAATCTGCCATCCAGAACAGCCACTCTCCAGCCTAAAACGAACCCATCCCTCACGATGACATCACCACGGTGAAGAGCGGGGTCCTATGTCTATTTTGACTGGAAAACGTCCTGCAGCTCCTAGCCAATCATGCTGGGAGTTCGAGAGCTTTTGTTTCACAGGGGTGCCCCCCAAGGCCAGGCCAACAGCTCCAGGGACAAAGCAATGCCATGGCCTCAAGAGTGGCCAGGTGTGTAGAAATCAACCAACGAGAGAAAAAATGACCGGGATATGGCAAGGAACTGCAACAAAAATAGAATCCAGAGTTCCGATGAGCCCTTTGCTCCTGGTTTCATGAAATGAAATTGCTGCAAGCAGGCAAGGGAGCCAAGTCCCGAGATAGATAAAAGGTGAGGACACCCTGATGCTGAAACCGGCATCGTTTAATTTTTGTCTGTCCCTGAGAGCATGGTAAGCGCATGCCTGAAAATAGTGGCAGTGCACTTGCTTCTTCGAGGGCTGACAGAGCGCATCTGGAAGATGGAGGTCAAGGCAGCAGTAGGCATACCAACTGTTTCTTTCATCCTAACTTCCTCATTATGCTGCCAAGGAGGACTAGCAACTTAGCAGTGAAAACGAGATGAAAGCAGCAGCTGGTGGTGCAGGTGCTGCTAAGGTGGCTGGCTCAGGACCATTCTCCAGTAGGATTTCCCTCCGGGCCTTGATTACAGCAATGGCTTAAGACCAAGATACACACTAAACGCCCCCAACACCTTCATGTGCATCTCATAGGAAACTTTCCTACTCAAACACCAGTGTGGCTTGCAAGTGTGAGCCAGTGTGGTGTAGTGGTTAAGAGCATGGGACTGGGACTCAGACGATCTGGGTTCTAGTCCCCGCTCACCATGGAGCCAACTGAGTGACTTTGGGCCAGTCACAGACTCTCAGCCCAACCTACCTCACAGGGTTCTTGTTGTGGGGATCAGATGGAGGAGGAGATGTAAGCTGCCTTGAGCCCCTTGTAGGAAAAAGGCAGGATATAAATTGGAAAAAAAAAAGAGTTAGAGCACTGAGCTAGGAATGGGGTGACCCACTAGAGGATCACGAGGTGACTCTGGGCCTGTTATTTACCCTCAGCCTAATCCAACTTCACAAGGTTGTGTGGATGAAAACAGAGAAGAGGATTTGTATGTGCAGCTTTGCACTCTGGGATAAGAGTATAACAGGTTAACTAAAAGAGTGCAATTTTAGCTGAAAGTTACACTAGAAGAGGAAAACCCATGCTTTCCAAACGCTTAACGGCAGTTAGTTTTCCTTTGCTTACGATGTTCTCATTGTGCAAAGAAATTCCAGCCTAAAGCCAAAACTTGTATAACTTTCCACCACCATGGGGTGAGCTGAAAAATACTGATTGCATTTATTCATGCATCCATCGGTCAGATTAATGTGTACGGTAATATTTTTCATGTCTCTGAGAAAGTCAGAAAGGCATAATGCAGGCATTATTTCCCTCATCCTGTCAAGTATGTTAGGTAGAGAGAGAATTAATGGCCCAACATCACACAAGCTTTTTATTCAGCAGGGATCCTAACTTAGTTTTCCCTGGTTGACAGCCACAGAACCTGAGCTCGCTCTCCATTCACAATAAAGTGTTGGCTAGGATTGGTCTTCAATACGTGGACAGCCATGGGCAAAATCTAGGCTCGCCTTTATTTCGCTCCAGGGCACATTCTCACCTTTCTCCATATGGGATTGGGAATAACTCCTGGCAGTTTTATAGCGGCCATACGAAAACTTCCTCCTTTGCAGGAAGATGTGTGGCAAGGAATTGTTGCTAGTTGCAACAACCAAATGCTACTTCAGTGAGAGAACTGCACTGGATACATACAGCTGCTACTTTCTGTCCTTCCTTCTGTCTCCCTCACATGCCCATTGTTACAGTATGTACAATATTGTGAGAAATGGCCATATAGCTATAAATGCCATCATTATCCACATGGTTGCAGGACGCCTGCAGTTTTCCTACATGGAACTAACAGCTGGACAGGAAATGCGTTGTGCAAGGGACCTCTGTGACACAATATCACTTACTTATTTATTTTATTTTATTTATTTATTAGAACATTTCTATGCCGCCCCTTGCCGAAGCCTCGGGGCGGCTTACAACACAATAAAATACAATAAAATACAAAAATAACAATATAAAATTAAAATTAACAATATAAAATAAATAAAAATATAAAATATAAAAGAAGTCGCCCTGGCCAGATAATACTTGCCACTTACTTGAGTGGACATGGATCACCCTCGCTCATGACACTTTGGAATCTTGATTTTGTGCAGAAGAAGGAAGGGAAAGATTGTAATTTAGGGGTAGGGCATATGCTCTGCATGCAGAAGGGCTTGGATTCAATTCTGGGCATCTCCAGGTGGTGCTTCAAAAGATCCCTGGCTGAAACCACAGAGACGTCTTGCTGGTTTGTGCCCTGATTTACACAATAAGCCGGAGTATGGGCTGAGCATCGACACTGAACTGTGAGTTGTTTAATTATGGCTTGCTGTGCTGTGTGAACTCAGCTGTACTAACAAGCCATAGTTTCTTAACCACAAACAACTTAATGTTTGTAATTCAGCAAGAAACCATGGGCTTTTTTGGGTGGTTGATTTTGAGTTAACAAACCATGGTTTGTTAGAACACTTCCATGCAAAGAACTAAACAACCCAAAATTCAACAACGGCCCAGGTTCAATTACAACCCATCCTCCATACTTTAGCATGGCATGGCATGTAAACCAAGCTGGTGTCAACTGCCATTTACCAACCTGGTATGCTCCAAATATACGGCAAGTGCAGGCCAGCACCCTGGGACAAGGGCGCCTGGCTGCTGAAGGCATGCTCTGTGTCAGAACACAGCAGTTTCTGACATTTCCTGCTGATGCCTCCAGCTCAGTCCAGGATGAATCCCGGGAGATGCCACCTGTCACTCCGTTCCCATGCTCCCAACATGCCCACAGCTGGCATTCCATCAGAGCTTTCTAGGGATCCTAAAAAAATACTTCCTTGTTTCAGAGGATTGTAACCAGACAGAATTGTAACCAGGCTCTCAACAAAATTAGTCATTCCAAGAGGCCCCAAGCCCAATTACAAAAGGTTTAGGAATTCAGGAACTGAGGCTGTTTTCCTTTTTTAAGGTTACATAGGGACAACCAGTATTTCAGCACTGTATCACATCTGCCTCATGTGTGCTGTTCATTCAAATACTCAAGGAGCTGTTCTCAGCAGAGCTGGTGAAGTCTGGCTGAGCCAGAAATTAAATTTATCAAGATGAGAATTTCTCTTGCCAGGCCTGGAAAGAGCAAACCTCGAAGACCATACACATCAACACATCCAGCTCAGCAATTCTGCCCAGACATGGCAAGCCAGATCCAGTCAACATACTGGATTTTTCTGCATCTTGTGAAGATGCTTCGTTCCGAAATACTGGCGGAGTAGACAAGCAAATGCCTACAGTGTGTTTTCAAAATTCCCATACTAGCCAAAAGAGCCCTGCAAGGGTTCCCCCCACCCACCATGTCCAAGGTTTCCAAGGAAAAGAACTGACACAATGGAGCATCATGTTCAGCAAGGTCTCTGCCTAAAGGCAGGATTAGTATTTAGCTTGCTCATGTAAATGGCAATGCAGTGCCTTCCTGAAGAGCCATCCTAGCCCTAACAACCACAGTATTTACATAGCATTTATGCAATGTGAACCAAAGCTAGATACAGATCCCCTGGCATATTTACAGCTAATGTTTGCTGCACTGAACCACACCGGTTGGAGGCATTTGGAATACACATCTGATTTGTTGATGCATATATTGTAACACACGTGCCTTGGCTATGCCCAATGCCGTGCCAGTCCCGTGGCAACACACAGGAATTAGCATTATGTGCCATTTTGGTGATCCTGGTTCTCATTTTAAAAGGTGTTCAGTCGAAGCTGTCATATGAAAGCGGCAGTGCTTTAGACCTGTAATGCCGCACACTTTTAATGTGCAGAATTTTATACAGCCTTCTCACTAGCTCATCTTTTCAGTGACCCAATAAAAGGTTATCAACATTCCAATTTCATACACAGAAATATACACGCTAGCAACCATGCCTTGCTCTAAGCCCACGCAAGTCCTTGGCTGAAATACAGCTGCAACCCTAAGCCAAATTCAGCATTTCATTTATCCCCAGTAAAAAAAATTCCTAATTGCAGAATTGTGGCAGCTGAAATTAGGTCCCTTTTTAAAGGAAGGGACTTTTTAAAAGGTTGCTAAATGATAATCTAGACCCAGACCTTTAAGCTACAGTCCTAGCATTTACAGTGACCTTCTGCATTCCCAGGGTAGGCACTCATATAATATAGCAGCCAAACAGATAACACAAAGGCTTAAAAATATTTAGCCTGTTTCTTTTTGACAATCATCTCTCTAGCCCAGTCCTCTAGATCTCCGTGCTGAAAATTCTACCTTCCCCTGGTACTATGCTAACAATCTGGTTTAGGACTGAGGAAAGGTGCCAGGTTCAAGTTCCCATCTCAGTCATGATGCTCACGGGGCGACCCTGAACCGTTCATCACTAGATCATGAGGACTAGCCAACCTCGCAGGGTTAGAGGACAAAATGGAGAGTTGTACCTGTGCATGAGAGTGCTCTTCGGTGGAAGGAAGGGCCGATTTAAAAAAAAAAAATGCGAAAAGAAAATCAGAGATAAGTCACCTTGCTCTACCAACACACCCATACCCAGGACACAGCCCTCACACCAGGAACCCAAGCCAGTCCCGTCGCCACCGCCACACAAGCACGGCCAGACGCCGGATGCTCAGTCCAAGTTACTTTCTGCAAAAACCATTACGCGAGTTCGAAAGACAGGAGCGGAGCGGAGCGGAGCGGAGAGGAGAGAGAGGAGCCGCCGCCGCCGCCGCCCGCGGGCGCACCAGCTCGCCCGGTCTTACCTTCTCTGGCTTTGAGCAAGACGGTATTGGCCACGATGTTCTCCAACTCCATAATGTTCCAGCTTGGGGGATGCTGAGGCGGGTCGCGGGGGAAGGAAAAGAGGAGCGAGGGCGGGGAGGGGGAAGGCGCTTTCTTCGTGATTGTCCTCAAGGGGAGATTTCCCCCGACCTTTTCAGGAGGAGGCCGCCAGCATCAAAGACCTCTAGGGATCGGGCTGCTCCGAATGGAGAGATTCCCCGCGAAACCGAGAGAATAGAAAGCCAGGCCAGGGAGAAGGGGGCGTGCGGGGGAGGACCACGACTTCCCCCAGCTCCGGTTAAAGCCGCAGCGCCATCCAGGCAGAGGGATCCCCTCGCTCGCTCGGCGGATCGATCCTCCGCGCGCACCAGACACGCAGCCTGGGAGGCGCCGGAGACGCTCCTCTGGGTTTAAGCCGCGGGGAGGAGGGGGGGCCGCCGCGCCGAGAAAGTGCCCCCTCCCCCCTCCCCAGCACACCATTCCCAGATGGGGGAGGGGGAGACGCCGCGGAAGTCCCAGCCCCGGGGATGCCCAGTTTAGGGGACCGCGCGCGCTCCCCCGGCCAGGTCAAGGCAGGCAAGAAAGAGGAAGCAGATAAATGGGGGATCCAGCCCGCCCGCGCCGTGCAGGCGGGCAGGAGAGGCGAGGGAGCGCGCGAGCCTTTTCTGCCCCAGCGGCAGCAGGAAATACCACGGGCTGAAGCGAGACCGTAGCAATCAAACTGGCTGCAAAACGCTCCGGGAGGGCGGGCTCTGGCCCCGATGACGTCGCCGAGCAGGGGGCGGGGCTCGGATGTGTCAACGTTCTGGAAGTTATGTAACCTCCTCCTACCCACCTTCTTCCCCAAAAAGTTTTTTTGTTTCTTGTTGTTTTGCGAGCGGCCTCAGGCGCATCCTGGGAAATGCAGTTTGCCCGGGAACCTGCCTCCAGGTCGCTCAACAGCAGCAGCGCCGGGCAGGCGCGCGCCACGCCGAGGGACGGGCGCGGAATCTCTCCTTGTATCCTTGCATCGAGACTCTCTGCAGCGGCGGGGCGCTGGCGGAGGAAGCACCTGAGTGTCCCGCACCTGCTTTCGAGTTTGCTTTCTTGGATCATTCTGTTACATGGTCTTTGTCCCCCCCTTTCCTCATAGCAGCCTTGCTGGGGAGGGCTTTCGGCAGGGGGTAATTGGCCCAGAGAAACTCGTGAAGCAGATATGGGGCCGGAGACGGATTTACGCGCAAGCTAGGCTTGCTACCATACTGGGGAACGGGGTCTGGAGGACCCAGATGTGGTCCGGTGGTGTGTACCTAGCACAGAAATGAGGAATGTGCAGCCCTCCAGTGGTTGTCAGACTGCAGTTCCCATCTTCCCTCACAGCTGACTATGGCTGGCTAGGACTGATGGGATTCAAGTTCATCCAAGTTAGAGACGTGCTCCCCACACAACCCAGAACCTGGAGATTTCAGGCCTACATCTCCCATCAATCCTCAGCATTGGCCCTGGGGGTTGAGACTGATGGGTGTTACAGTCCAGAAACATCCAGGCACCACACATTCCCCACCCCATCCAGTAAAACTTGGGGGCTGAGGATGTCTTTCCCTTGGCAGACCCCAAAGCCTCCTTCTTTACCCCCCCCCCCCGCAAAGCATAAACCTATGTCTAATTTCCCTGGGTCTTGCACCATGCAGACATTTTGGACTCTAAATCCTAGCATTCCTGACCACTAGCTTTGGCTGATGGGCTCAAGGTCAAAAACATCAAGAACAGACAAGGATGTTTTCCTCAACCTAGTACCTTCCACATGGTTTGGACTTTAAGCCTCAGCCCTCCTGCCCTTTGACTGAGGCATAACCAGTAGCTGGTTGGGAGTTGGGGTGGGGGGCAATCCAGCCAAATAGGACTTTAAAAGGATGGAGTGCAATCCTTGAATCACAATACCTGTCCTTGGATTCAAGGTTGGAATTATCAGCAGTGAAACCACATGAGCTTAACTTGGTACTGGAAAATCTCACCTAGGCTCAGATTCAGAAGAGAAGGAACACTCATGAGGATGAAGACAGAATTTCTTCCATTAAGCAGTGGCAAAGACACAAAGGACCCCAAAGAGGGCTGAGTTCAGCAATAATATGACAGATGGTAGGAAAGCCACTAGGTGAGACTATGAAATTTGGGCTCTTTTTACTGTCAGTGCACCTCTAAAAATTAATATTCTGCTTCAGGGAAATAAATACCGTCTTGGTTCGCTTTATTCTCCTTCCTCTCTGTGCAGGGCCTTGGTTCTCTCAGCCTGGGAAAATCTGCTACAGCCAAATTTTGCTTCTTTGGCCCAGAATGCTAGTTCTTATCCAATACCTCTAACACCTACCAGTCAGTCACTGTGTGTGTCATTTTATCACACTTTTGGATACTACAGACTGCTTTGACACAAAATTTGGCCTAATTTTTGAACTTTTGTTCCTTGCTTCATCCTCTGCCTCTAGTAACATCTAGTTTTAGTTCTGGACAGCTCAGAAACTTACACAAACTTTTGTGGCTATTTGGTTAGCCCTAGTTGCCTACCTGTGCATTTTGGAGTCCCCCCCACCCCCTGCACCTCCATAAGCACTTGATTTTGCAGTTGGTCAGCCGGTGGATCTCTATAGGGTGGGGAAACAATTTAACTCCTAGGAGTCAGCTTCTTGTCTGGCCCACACAAGGGAAGGGGACAAGATCAAAGGGATGAGCCTCTTTCGGAAGCCCTCCACCATTCCCAAGCAGCTCCCACTCAAAATCATCGGGGAGAAATAAAACCAAGCCAGCTCAGTCCTCCTCCATTCTCTCGCCCTTCTCAAGGAGCAGGGTGCTGGTGAGGAGCTATCTGGTCAAACTCGCCACCCTGAGACACTGTAAAGGAGAAACAAACTTGCTGGCAGGCTGAGATTCTCCACTCCTGAAGCAACCCAGTTTTAAGATTCCCTCTTTCCAGATCACCTCGAAAATATTCCCATCCAGCCTCTTTTTGGAAGCATGTAAGAGAGGCGACTGCCATGTTCTCCCCTGCAGAGGAAGGCAGGACGCGCTCCAACGGAGCAAAGCTCAGGGAGCCAAGGTTCCATTTGGATGCCAGGAAGCAGTTCCTGACAGTCAGGACCCCGAGGGTGTGGAATGGGCTTCCACGAGAGGTGGTTGAGGCCCCATCGGTGCAGGTGTTCAAGGATAGGCTGGACGTCCACATGGTGGGCATGTTGTGAGCGGAGCCGGCTTGTGCCGGAGGTCAGACTAGATGGCCCGGGAGGTCCCTTCTGACTCACTCTGTTTCTATGTTCTCAGGTCACCTGCTCCATTCAACACTTTCAATCTAAGTTGAATGGAATTAATCTCCACATTATTGCAATTTGAACCAGACCCTACTGTAGCTGGTCCTTAAGAGGCCACAGGTATCTTCACTTTTTTCTTCACAGTAGCCTGAGCCCCAGTGTGATGAGATACGTAATGCAGAGAGCCCGAACAGTGCTCCCAAGGGTGCGCAATACAAGCTAAGAGACCAAATTCATTACTTTCCAATAACATGCCAGCTGGAAGTGGTCTCACCACATTCAGTGTTTCAGGGTTAGCTCTGAAAATAAATGGCCAGCCTTTAAAAAAAAAGACAAATGCACTATCAGTAGGCTGAAGCCCACGAGGGAAAGAATGGTTCTGTGCTGCAAACAACGCCAGGGACTGGGAATGGATATGTATTTGGCTCACTTGCACATTACTGGAACTGTTCAATCCCAATACACAGATATCTTAAAGCAAGGGTTCTGATTTGGCCCTCTGGACTTCCCTAAGTGGCTATACCCTGTTTCCCCGACCACTGGTCCGGGCACTGGCTTCCTGGCATTGCAGCAGCTTCCCCACATTCTAAATGGTTTAAGTGACTCCCTAAGGCTCGGCTATTGACTGTGAGAACGTTAAAGCAACCTAAAATATGCTTGCATTTTGGTTCCACCTCTTTGGCTTTCAGCCCTGCCACCAGAACAGAGCCCCAAAAGCTTCTCCAAATGGAATGGAGCTGAAAGAATTTCGTGTCCCATCTTGAAGAAAGGGCTGTTCTAAACCACTCGTACTAGCTCTTCCCCACTGTAAGATCTGGGGCGGGGGAGAAGGTAGAAGAGCTTCAGGAAAGGGCCAAAACCCCTTTATCCCTTTAGAGAAAAGCACTTTTGTGACTGAAAAGGCAGGCAAATTCTCAGAAAGGGTTCCAGCTTCACCAACACCCATGCTGAGCCAGCTTTTATTTACATATCAGAACAGGAGGATTATTTCCACTTCCTCCTATTCCAAAGTCACATAACAGGAAAAAAGTTCAACGAAAGAAATGTGATGTCCCAAGCCGGCACTCTTTACAGCTGCTGCATCACATCAGATCGCCCGAGAGGGCCTGCATCTGTCTTTTTAGGTCTTCCAGAAGAATGATTTTCCTGAAGAGAAAATAATACCTCATGATTATATGTTTTCAATTTAGCGGGGGGGGGGATCACCCCAAATTAAAGAAGCTGTCAAGTACAAGATCTCTTGAATGTGACCACAGCTTGAAAGCAGCTGCGATTGTCCAGGCTGAATTGTCTAATATTCGTCTAGAGTATCAGCCCGTGGAATTGAGAGGCCCCGCTCCTTCAGTGCTTGCACTTTCAGCTTCTCTGACTCCTGCTTGGCTTGTTGCTCAACTCGCTGCACTTCCAGGATCTCCTCGATAGACACTTGCTGCAAGGGGGTGTCACTCTCCTTTTCCAGGTCCTGCAATGAAAGGAAGGGCCAATCAGCAGGGCCACGCTCAGGTGGAGAAGAGGCAACCGTCAGGCATGCTGCTTCCTGGGTGAGCGGAACACAACCAGGGATGCTTGCAAAATCTGATTTTTCAGAACTGAGATGCAAGTTCTCCTGATCTGCAACTGCTATACTAAATGTGTATGGTTAAAATACGGTTTAATGCACATATTGAGAAAATGTAGATAATATTATAAGGTACATTTAGAACATACATTTGGGGAAAATATGCTAACATGCATATACATACATATATATGATCATCTGAGGTGGATCAATACAGATATGAGACGGAATGGCCGTATGGACACATGAGACTGGTTTTATTTCGAATCTGTGTCAATCTCTAAGCCGTCCTGGTAGTTCAGCACAAAGCCTGGGCTGAGCACAGGACATGTTAAAAATGTGTGGGAAAATGTCCACCATTTGCCTAAGAGAAGCACAAAGGATATGTAACAACCCAGAGTATGGATTGTCATTGAACTATGTGCTACACGTAAATCCTGCACTGTGGTTTAACTGTGGGTTGTGAACCATCAACAACCCAGGAAGAAATCCATGGTTTTTCTGTTGGGTTGTGAATGTATTCACTGTTTACCAACCTGGAGTAGAGCGGGGGTGGCCAGACCTGCCCAAGAAAAGAGGCACAAGGGTAAATGTCAGGTGTGTGAAAGCTACAAAACAAACTCCAAGAGCTGCATACAGCCTGTGAGCCTCAGTTTGGCCACCCCTAGTATGAGGGTTACACATAATGACAACCCACAGCTCAGCAGCAGCACACTATTACGCCCATACTCTAGGTAGTTATTTACAATGCAGCTCTTAAAGAAATGTCTTCATTCTCTTCTGAACAGCTGCCAGACACATGCCTCTGAAATAGCCAGAAGCAGAGCATGAATTCAACTGATGGTTCCAAGAACAATTCACTGAAGATAGACTGTCTGAGAAGAGTGCTTCTGTTCAGCTATCAGAAAATAATAGCTGTTTGACTAGCAATGCACATTTGCCAAGCAAAACACCTAAAAGGGATCAAGGATTTATTTGTTGCTGCAAATGCACAGTTCTCAGAGATAATGATGCAGTTGTATATAAAGGTAAGAAGAATGACAATTGCTAAATGCCCAAGGGTTGAACTACACACGACATGGTAGATCTACAGAGAATTTGCCCAATTTTCAGTCCATACTTAAGCTTTTTTAGGATCACTTGTGATGAACTGCACTTCATACTTTGTTATGCTGTTTATTTTTAGTGCTTGACAGGCGCTTGAAGATCAGAGCTGGGTCCTCTGTTTTCTTTGCGAATTTAGATGAAAGCAGTGGGGGGAGGTAAAATGCCCCTCCAAATGGTTTGAACTACAATTCACAATCCGTGATTATTGTACATGATGACTGAGCCTTTTTGGGAGTTGTACTCTGAAAGATCCTGAAGGTACCAGGTTGCCTCTGTCTTAAAGATGGGTCTTCCTGTTGGTGCATCGGAAGCTTTCTCTCTCAGCCTTGCAAAACAATGGCAAAATTCCATGCACCTAGAAATCTAGCAGATAGAGAAGGCTTGAATTTTCCCCTGCCATGTCGATCATCAGTGTTTCATAGCTCCTAAAAGCGCACAGGTCCTTGTGGCATCATTCTGAGTTTCAAAAATGTTTATTTCTTAATTTATGAACCTAATATTTAGGGCCTCTCAATACCTAGGGAGAGCACCCCACAAACTACCACTGCTTTGGGGAACCTTCTTTCACTTGCAAATTACAAGCATGGGATTATCTAAATTACATATTTGAATAAATGGTATCAGTGTCCAACAAGGCCAAAGAACTTCTATGCAAATAAGCATGCTCATAAACAAGAAAGCTGTTTACTTACAATTTCCCCCAGGAGTACGACGTTCTCACCTCTCACCACAAAGATCCCACGAGGGATGTCACCGTATTTTTTGCCTACATGAATGCGCTCCACTGTTTGGTGCAACACCAAATTTGCTACAGAGTTCAAAAAGGAGACAGAGATGGAAACTAGACTGAGATGTGTGGCAACTGAAATAAGGTAGCCAGGAACCTTCAACAGGCTTTTGGTGCAACTGAGTTCTAGGAGGTTAACTGAGAACTATCTATCAAAATGCTCCTCCTTTTGGTGTGAAAAATTACATTACATATTCTTCCCTTTGAGAGGAACCCAAGGTGCCTTATCTAGCTCCATCTTCACGCCAACAATGTGAAGTAGGTCAGGTAAAAAGGAATGGCTGTCCCAAAATCACCCCGTGGGCTTCATGGCTGAATGGAGACCAGAACCTGGATCTCCCAAGTCCCTGGTCCAATAGTCTAAGCACCATATGACAATGGCTCTTGAAGACGTTCACTCCAGGGTCCCTGAGCTTTCCTCATTTTGGTGTGTGTGGATGGCAGGGATCATTTTGTTGATGGCTTATAATAAAACAAGACATCAAAGAGCCCTATGGGCTTTGGGGTGGCACACAAATGTAATACAATGATGTTATTGTTCAACAACTGGCTGATCTCCTGCAAACAACCCAGAGCTTTCCTGCTACAAGCAGATCTACCACTGGCCCACCCATTTTAGCAAACAGTTTGGGTTAGCATCAATTCATTGCAATACCCCACAGGCTCTTTCAACCTGGCGCCATGCAGATGTGGGAAGATGGACATTGTAGTCCAATACATCTAGGGGGTGGAAGGCTGGAGAAGGCTAGAGAGGTCCGCCTGGTGCCGTTGTTATTTGTTTTTCGGCACCAGGCTAAGACCTTTTTATTTAAAACTTATTTTAATTGTTAAATTATTGAATTAATTAGGATTTTAAAAATTTTAGCCGAGAATGCACCGGGGGTTTTTAAATGGCTTTTTTATTGTTATATTATCATTGTTTATGTATGTATTTATGTATTCTTTGTGAGCCGCCCCGAGGCTTTGTTGTGATGGGGGCGGCATAGAAATGTTTTAAATAAATAAATAAAGAACATGCCAGAGGAACTGCACCAAGTCCACCAATTACTGTTCAACGTTGCTCAACATGATGACTTCCAGATGTGTTGGATCACAACTCCCACAGTCATTCCCAGGGGAAAACTGCCCTAGCTCTAAGCTTAATCTAGTTCAAGGGATTTTTTTTTCTGGACTTGGGAAGCTATTTCAGTCTTATTGCTCTGGTCGAAAGCAAAGATCACAACTGTCTACATGTTGAAAGAGAATCATAGGAACCTATGAAACAACTTTCAAGATTTATAGCCAGTGGGGGAATCCCTCCTGACACAATCTCCTGCCTTTTACTCGCTTTTAAAAATCACTGAGTAAAAGTTCATGTGCTGGAGATGTATAAAAAACTGGACTGCTTGGTGAGATCTTAACTATAAACTAGCTTAATCTGAAGAAAGCCAGAAGCTCCCAGTGTAAAACTAAGTGGAAGATTACCGAGATAAGACTATTGACTGCTGGTTCTCAGCCATGAGTGCACAGACACTGCACTCATTTGAGAGTCAATGCACTATTTAGATCAAGAGTTCACATTTCATTCCTGCTCTTGCTCCAAAAACTCTTTACCCTGAGATTACTCAGAGCAACCTACTATATGCTGTTCTGGTCAGAATTAGTTATCTGATACCAATTATCTGGTATGTATTTTATTCATATATCACTGATCTGGAGCAAAGCAACATGAAAGGAGAGAGTAAGAATAAATGAACGATAAGTTCCCCCAGTGAAGGGATATAAATAGCACAGTCCCACAGGAATCTGTATTGGAGTTAATGCTTTTCAAACAGTTCATAAAAACTCCAGAGTTTGGGTGTGAGCAGTGGCCAAATTTGCCAATGCCACCAAATTATTTCCATTATCTTACTGCCCTTAAAATATCTATGGCATTACCACATTTGGAATGCTATTTACCGTTTTGTTTGCAAAACCTAAAGAGGGATATTTTAGAATTGGAAAAAGGGCAGAAAAAAGCAACTCAAGTAACTGTGGGGCTGCAGCAGCACCCTTATGGGGAAAATGTCTCATAATGTTTAGCTTAGGGGAAAAAAAAGTAACAGGAAACATGATACATTTTAATCTTATATTTGTAAATCAATATATTTTTTGTATTTTGTAATTAATGGTAATTTATTATGTGCTATTGTATTTCATTGTATTTTATCGTGTTGTAAGCCGCACCGAGGTTTCGGCAAGGGGCGGCATAGAAATGTTATAATAATAATAATAATAATAATAATAATAATAATAATAATACAGGTGGACAAAATTATGCATCATGTCGAGGTGGTTAGGAAGACATTTTTCATCTCCCCCTAACGAAGAAGCCAGAGTCACCCCATGGAGCCAGGAAGTGGGCAATTCAGGACAGTGAAAAGGAAGTATTTCTACATATGCAGCATAGTTAAGCTACAGCATTCAGTACAAGATGCAGTGACCACTGCCATCAGCAATGGCTTTAAAAGAGGACTGCGCAAATTCGGAGGGGATAAGCCACTGAGAGTCAGTGTGGGGTAGTGGTTAAGAGCATGGGACTGGGACTCAGACGATCTGGGTTCTAGTCCTTGCTAGGCCATGGAGCCAGCTGGGTGACTGTGGGCCAGTCACAGACTCTCAGCCCAACCTACCTCGCAGGGTTGTTGTTGTGGGGATAAGATGGAGGAGGAGAATGATGTAAGCTGCCTTGAGCCCTTTGTAGGAAAAAGGCAGGATATAAATCGAAAAATAAATTAAATAAGTAATGCTCTCCCCTGGCTACTAGTCCTGGTGGCTATATGCTATCTCCAGTATCAGAGGCAGCACAGCTATGCCCAGAAGCGGCAGGAGAGTCAGGGTGGCCATGTCCGCATGGAAGGGTAAGCCAATAGTAATGCAGTGGTAGTGCTCCAGAGAAGCAGCGAGGGGCACCATCTAAGGCTCATTAGAACACGTGCCTTTGCCTCTGGTCAAAGCTTGGAGCAGCAGGATTGGAGATAAATGCATTGTCAAGGACGATGAATGAGCATCATTCAGTTCTGGTACTCAGAACAAATGCCTGGCACCTAGTTCTTGAATTCTAAGCCTATGTTCTGTGCCAGGCTCTGTCAAAAGTTCTTGGATTCAAACAAAGACAAATTAAATCCCAGATGAATGAGGTCTGCCCACCCATGCACTGATAGTGGGCATATACACAGCTTTTTGGGGTGGGGGGGGCAGGCAATGCCTTGCTATACCTCTAGCTCCCTCTAGTGGTGCAGGTATAGCCTCCAAGGCTGTGGCATTGCAGAAGGAATATGATGTGGTCATTTTCTTGCATCAGGTCACTCTAACACAGTATTATTTTGAGGTGTATAGAAAACAGAATGAGGGAGGTGCAAGGTTGTTAGCCCTGTTTGGATGCAGGATTTCCAGTATGCCATGTGCCAATGTTGGTCCTGCTGAAAGGACAGCAACAGTGGTAGAGTCCTCTCCCCTCCAAGCTGACTCCAAAGGCAGCCCTTTCTTGAGACATGAACAGGGAAGGGGGCATCTCCTTGGGAACTGATAGAAAGGCAGCAGCGTCTCTTGCCTTACTGCTTTCTGACTCCATCTGTAAGACACTCCCCCTTCTGAGCTTGTGCTACTGCATTTCTGGACTTCTGGCTCTTTGCACCAATGCTTCATTAAAAAGCCACTTCTCACAGTGAGGGACCCAATCCTGTATTTCCCAACTGGAAGCGCCACTCTTTTCATGCACACAATCATGATAGCCCCATAGTGCTTCCTCTCAAGGTTACCAGCCTAACTTGGCCCTCCCTTTGGGCTCACCAACATCACTCGTGCCCTCCCTTACACACCTGCACCAACAACTCAAAACACTCTGCTCTCTCAACACTCACATTCAGAAAAGGCTCTGCAAAGTGTTGATTGGACCAGTAGTACTTAAGTGTTCAAGCATTTGTAGATAAGCATTCATCAAACCTTGTAAAGGAGGCAAATATCATGCCACAATTAGACATGGGAAGGGGTCTGAGGCTGAAGGGGTACAACCAAGATTACACTCAGGGGCTTTTCAATTTGTGGCTCATATCTTAAGAATTATATCTGCTCTTTGCTAATAGCAACTACTACAGCTAAGAAAATTCAAATACAAGGCTGCTTCCCCCCACCTCCCACTCCCCATATTCCTTCTCTGGATTCCTGCCCAAAGTCAAAGACAGTGTACACAAAGGAGAGTGAAAGCTAAAAGCAAAAATCAAGGTAAGCTTAGGGGGACATACCAAATTGATCAATGCTGCGCAAGTATCCAATCAGTGTCCTACCATCTCGGAGAAGGACCAAATGTTTCTCTGCAGGGGAAAAGCATTATCAGTGTCCAAGGAAACCTTTAATAGTTTGCATTACAGCACCAAACTGCATATTGTTTTGGAGAAAGTTCACCCTCCATGCTCAGCCACTGGGAAATTTTCACCTAAAACAATTCTGAAGAGGGGTGGGGTAGCAGATAAACTCAGTTTCCCTACTGATTAAAGCAAAACAAAACCCTCACAATGTCCCAGGAACCCTGATTCCACTCGCGGTTTGCGACTAAGACAGAAATAATGAGTGGGGGAGAGAAGAAAGGAAATTTCAGGTGAGACACCACCAGCAACCTTGGGACTTGAGGAGCAAGGAAGGACGCGGTGGCGCTTTGCTCCACTTGCCTGGAAGGACCATCCCCTTCGGCAGGGAAGATATTTAGGAGAGCGGCCCCAAGTCCAGAGACGGCGTGAAAAGCTTGCCCGCTGGGGGGGCTGCATCCCCGACCCTCCCGATGGCCGCCTACCCCACCGCCCCGCTGACCAGTACAACTTGTGGAAATAAAGGCAGAAGGGGCCCTGCCGCACTGCACCTGAGGTCCCCGATTAGCGGGATTTTTGCCCGCGTGCGCTTTACTGCCTGCAGCCCCCCTTTTCAGTCTTCCAGTCTGAAGCACCTCAACCCCCCCAGAAAATTCACGTCCTCCTTGTTCACACATCCCTTTTTCCCAAGGACGGGGCGCGCAAGAGACAGGGCGCTCTGCAGACACGCGTTCTGCTGCGCGCAGCAGGCGCTCGCCAACCCGCGCGGGGCTTCGCGCTCTGCGTCCCCGCAAGAACAAAGGGGTGCGGCGCGCGACTCACTGTCGATGTCCTGGATGAGGCTGGCCGTGCCCGGCATGTAGTTCATCTTCCCCCCGGACGCTGCGGAAGCGCCGCCGCCGCCGCCCGCAGCATCTGCCCTGGAAGAAGCGGAACCAGCCCTCGGTCTCTCCCCGCCCGGTCCGGAAGCACATGCTCCGCAGGGGCGGGCAGAGGGGAGGGTCCCCTCGCCTGGCGGGTCCTTGCGCATGGCGGGGCGGGCGGGCGGGGCGGCGCGCCAACGGGCGGCGGGTCTTGGTTCGGGGCTTAAATAGGGCGGCGAGAAAGCCGCCGCCTGCCTTTCCGCCGCGCCCTTAGGGCGCGGGCGCGCCGGCGGTGACCCAGCCGCTGTCCCGTCGTTCCGAGCCGGAGCCCTGGCGCGGCTCTTTTTTGGCCCGGGCTCCTGCGCCTACGGTGGAGTAAAGACGTGCCGAAGGCGGAGTCGCTAGGCCCAAGTTTCGAAGCGGTGCCTGGTTTGGCACTTGGACGCGGACCGAATTAAAAAACAAAACAAACCAAACCAAACCAGTGGGGCTGGGCTTGTCTGCATCCTGGTTTTGAAAGCATCTTTACTCGGAAATAGGCCCTGTTAAGTCGAGATTGGGCGTGTCTCCTCGCAAGAAAGTCCGACAGGATGCCTGACTCAATGTGCACAAGTTTGCAGCAATCTTGTGTTTTAATTTGGTATGTTCATCGTTTGCGAAAGAGAAACAACACAAGAGTCTTGCTACACCTTCAAGCCTTAAACCCTTTATGACAAGCTTTCATAGACTAGATTCTGCTAATCCATGAAACTGTTAAGATGTAAGTAATTGGGATTTTGAGGACATGGGGATTAGGATGGGCTCTGAGAACCTCTCTGCTAGCAGTGGGGCCATGCGTACTGGTTGGGCAGTCGCAAGACCAGCAGTTGTCACTGGTGAGGTTCTGGTCTTGCCCTTTTATTTGGGGAAGACCACACCTGGGCACCTGTACCAAAGAAGTCATGGGTCTGCCTCAAGCTCTCTTTTAGGAAACCTTAAAAGAGAAAGACCTCTAACTTTCTCAATGAAAGATATCTTTTCTGGTCTCTTTCTACTTGGTTTGGAGGAGATTTCAGAGGCATCTCTTGTCTTTTGTCTGCTGGCTGGGTAGTAATGGCTCAATCCTAGCTTTGAGATGGATGCTAGAAGAGTTGTACTGTTCAGACACCGAGAAAGTTGACTATACAATAGATTGGTGACATGGTGTTGCTTTCCCTACAAATGATTTCAGCTAGGTCAACTGCACTGGAAAAAGGATTCTGTCTCTTGGTCTTGGATAAGATGGAATCAGCATGGTCTGGTTGAATGGGCTGCTGCAGGCTGACAGTAACAGCCACTCCTATAAATAATAATAAATATATGTAATATTTGTATGTAATATATATTGATAGGCATATAATTATGTTGCATATTAATATAGTAATATGCTATTACTGTAACTGGCTTTACAAAATAAAATAAAAATTACACAAGCTAAAACTAAAAATAATCCCATGCAGTCAGACCCCCTCTACATACTCTTCCTTTTATTTTTAAAAAACAATGCTTATTAAAAATACAATAAAGTAGCATGAAATAGAAACGCCATTAAAGGAAAGATACATTCAGCCTGATTCTCTGATTTCCTATATGGTAAATGCTAATCTGTCACAACAGTATAACTTGAAAGACATGATATAGCCTTATTCACTTGCAAAAGCAAGGAGGATCCATCAGTTAACCATCCACTGTGGAGATGATCTGGGCTGGTGTTAAGGGGTGGCATGGCTGGTTACACACTGGGGATATTTCTCCTGCTGCAATGGAGTCCTCGGACACCTGGAGCCAGCACTGTAGATGATGCCACCTGTTCTAAAAAAAAGTCCAGGAGCTCTGTGCCTTACTGTTTCCCTTCCACTGTAGCACAGGATGAGAGCAGACAGGCACAAGTCTATTCCCAGGCCAGGCTCTAGGTTTGTGACCTCTTGGGGGTCACCCAGCAGTGGCTCGCCTGTGGCTGATAGCTGCTCGACACTGTAGTTACCAACAGCGCTGACTGTTATAAAAAGTGGCTTTGCCAAGGTGGAAAGGTCCAATATGCCTCCCTTCATGTTAAGCGAATGCTTTCTGAGGATGTAAATTTGCATGTGGTTTCTCTCCTAGTCTCTTCCTATGCATATTTACTGGGAAAATTCCATTTAGTTCCACAAGGAGACTCACACCCAACCAAGAGTACTAGCATTACACATGCCCAGCTGAGAAGATATTAAATAGATGTGAGTCAGTTAACCTAAAAACCACAGGACCAGCTAGAAATGCCAAAGGCTGGGAAATAAATGGAAGAATACTGTTGTGCCATATCTCTGCTAATAAAAAAGTTTTTTTCTTCTAAAGGATATATTTAAAAATCAAAGCAGTGGAAAGGAGTTATTCTGAATTTTACTGGGGGTGGGAATTGTTCCATTCCTTCCTTGTGACAAAGTACTCCAGAGTTCTTCATCAGGGTGCGTGTTAAATAAAGGAGCCTTGACAAAAGGCTTCAGTTGGAGTGAATGTACATTTTGGAGTGAATGTACAGATTTGTAGACATCAGTATTGCAGCAAATGCTTAGTATCCAGTTCAAAGGAGAATTCTGGAGCACTGAAAAGCTTGCTCATGCCACTGTGATGTTTGCATTGCCTGGAAGCAGCACCACTATTTACTTAAATTTACTTTTATAATAGTTGCTTATCTTTGGAATCCCCAATTTCATACCCTGAATTTTGGATTTTTTTAAAAAAAATCATGAAACAGCACAGCCAGTTTTGGTTTTTATTTGCAATTTTTGTGGTCATCTGCAGGTGTTTTTTTAATATGCTCAGGGAAATCTTCCCTTCCATTTCCTTTCAGAGCGTCCACTTAATTGTAGGCATGTTACCCACACATTTGATTTATAAATACATATTCAAGTTTCTCTCCAGCGCTTCAAGGGTTACTGTACCCGAGGTCAACAGAGGTTACGTCCCCCTGATTGGACACTTTGGTGTTGACGTTTCTTGGAGGGGGCGACTCGTTCATCAACGTCAGCGTCGACCGGTGACGTCGTTGAGCAACTTACCCTAGATCTCCCTACATCCGGGAATGCCGCGACTTTATGAAGTCCCCAAGACATCTAAAGGAGGGGGAGAAAGGGGCGGTGGGGGCACGTTCACGACGGGGATTGGCTAGGGGCGGTCGCGCAGGCGCAGTGCTTCCACTAAGGGAAGGGCGGGGGGGAAACGGTGCGAAAAGTGACAACCACTAATGGCGGCGGCGATGAGGTGGTTTTTATACGGGCCGGACGTAGAGCGGTCTAGCCCTGAGCCCGAGCCTCCGCCGCAGCCGTGGGGCATTGAGGGCCACAGGTGCCCGCAGCGTCGCGCCGGCGGGGAGAGGACTGCTCGGGGCGATCCCCAGGTAACGGCCAAGCCCTCCCGCCCGCCTTCCCCACCCCCTGGGCAGCGGCCTGTGCCCTGAGAGGGCGCTCCGGGCCGCTCCCCTCTCCGCCTGCGGGGCTGAAGGGCTGCCACGTAGGTAAGCGCCAGGTCTGTTACGGCGCGAGCTGCGGGCTGCTGCTGCTGCTGCTGCAGCACCAGCGGCAGCGTCCCGGCCGCCAGCTCTAGCTCCATTTTAAAAACAGGGTGAGAATGAATGCCACGTAGTTCAGAGCACATGCATTTGCCTCCCCGTTTCTGCTTAAAGCACGCTAGGACAGGAGCCTTGGCTAGGTTCACCTAAAGTAAAGAGGAATTGGGTTGAAATGAGCGAATGGTAAGTCGTCGCATCTGCAATATGCCTGGCCGGTGTCTCAGTCGAAGTTCTTTTGCTGCGCCACTTCCCCTTCCCCGGGCCGGTCCAGAAAACCGCACAACTAAGATCGTCAGCAAATGCTGGTCAGTGATTCGGATTGGTGGCTTCCCCGGGTCTGAGACGTTCAACAGGAAGTAGTTGTTGATTCCTTTCCAGTATGGAAGAAAAGTAGGAAGATAGCAATGCAGTGATGAGAAGAGGGAGCTAGCTGTTAGGTGCACACAGTATTCATTTATTTATTTTATATATTGCTCAACAGCTGAAGCTCTCAGGGCGATTCACAACAGCAAGTGTTGTGCAATTAAGTCAGATGTCTTTCAGTTTTGTTTTTCTGCAGGCACAGTAAGGTATGTACACCTACACAGGTTGCTTTCCCTATTACTTCTATAGTCAAAAATTGCATTTCTAGAAGGTTTTTGAGGGGGAGCTTTACATTTTGTGTCTTAAGTGTTATGGTTTTACTCAAGGTGGTTTTGTATTTATAATGTATTCATCCTGCTTAAGTGCAAATAGCAGGTCTGAACTATATTTGTAGAAATTTGTCTAAGCTGTTAAAGAATGATATGATACTTGCGCTCAGTAAGTGGTTAGTGCAATTCTAAGAGCCAATTATCTGTATTGTGTTGTGACTCTCAGCACAAATGTAGCACCTCAGTGCATGTAGAGGAAATTATCTGAAAGCGCTCTTACAGCAAAATCTCCTGGAATGATGGTAAGATGCACTTTAGGAGAGAAGTGTTTAGCCTTGTCTTATGTTCTGTCTGCATACAGGCAGATTTTAACACAGTGCTACTTTAGTCCCAGTTGTATTTGTAGGTAGAACAGTTTAAACATGTGTGCTAAAATTGAACCTCCTACTGAACTCTGTTAGGAACAAAATGTGCTTATGGAACTTTAGATTTCACCTTCATATTGAGTGAGGTGTCACATGTGTATATTAAAATGAGTTTGTTCAGAATGTGGCCAACCATGAGGTCACTCCTTTAGGCACCAAATCTGTTTGATTTTAGTTAAGGCTGATATGAGCCTATTATTCATTTGTTGTCTTTCTTGAGGTCCCAACTGTATTATTGGTAAGGGAAAAATAACTGATTTATTAAAACTGTACTAATTGGAAACCTTAAGCACAACTTTTTTTTTTGTTTTAGTAGTCAATACTTTCATTTTATTCATTTGTTGACTTTATTCGGTGAATACATCTTTCAAATTTGTGTACCTTTACGAAATTGTATTTTGAATTAGCCAACTAAATAGCCTTGCAAATCTGAGTTTGCACAGAGTGCTGGAGGAAGGCTGTGCCCTGCACACTGGAATTTAGGCAGTCAGCCTGCAGCTGCTGCACTTACCAAGATGCTAGAGATATGGTGTGATATATTAAAAATGAGAGCTTCTATCAGTGCTGGCATTCTTTTATTCCTTAAGGAGATGGGTTCTAATATAAGTTATGCACTTCTGGCCTGCCCTGACTTGTTCTTTTTGACAGCAGCATAATAAGAAAAAGGTGGCACCATGAATCCAAGCTGAAAAATACGTGCAAGCAGAAAGTAGTTTAAACATAATACATATCCCAAACAGGTTTGTCAGTAGTATCTTAGGAGAACTATAAACATCCACAAATAAATATATATAATCAGTTTGAGAAATCTATCCAACAAACAGTAAGATTGTGCAAAACCATAATGAGACACAAAAAACAACAACTGAAATTCTACACTTCCCCGTTTCTTTTCTGGCCTTTCTGCAAGGAGACTGGAAACTTTCACTTAACTAGATTGTGCCATTGTTGGCCAAACCTGGACAAACTGTGCTTAATCTCAGTGATGTGGGATTTCTGCAAAAAGTAGAACAGGAACAGTTTTCTGGAAAACGATCTAATGCTCTAAATAAATTTACTTGATATAAAATTTTTGTTTCAGTCAATTTTATTCCCCATCACACATTGTCTCTGAGTAAGCACACTAAATATCTCATGTTTAGTAAACAGAACTAAGAATGTAATTCTTGGCAATTTATGTGCGATATAAATATATCAAAAGTGTTCCCAATATCCTCAAAAGAGTTGAACTGAAATATTTGCTTTGGGAAAATTAAATTTAACACACAATATAGTTTAAATGTGCAAACACATTCAAAGCTTTATGTGGAAATTATTTTATTGAGATATATGTGTAAAGGCAATAACATACATTGACTTAAGGTTTGTTTAGAATTAACAAAAATGTCTACACCTGAAAGAACATACTGTGGATGTGCATCTCTGGGCACAGAATGGAGGGATGTGGGTCAGGAGGGATGCGGGTCCCTGGGCACAGGTTGCAGAACTTAGGCTGGAGGGTGTTGTCACACTGAGGTAGGAGGTCATGGAGGATCCCAGAGGCAACTGTTTGGTCAGTGGACTAGAGAGCCCTTGGTCTTGTCCAGCATGGAGTGAAACAAACAGTAATCACGGTATTAGTTTCAGTTTTCTGTCAGTTTGTAAATGAAGCCTGTTAGTGATAGAAGGCTAATCTACTTCGTACAAGTATGGTCCAGACCCAGCCAGGAGCCAACTGCATTGTGCTTGGGAACTGAAAGCAAGGGTCGGTCAGTGCTCGCCTGAGAAGAGTAACTTATAAAACTAATGTTTTATATTTGGTCCATCTAACATGATTGATTGAAGCACAGCAGCCCAGACAGTTATGGATTATGCAAACATACAAGATATATAATATTTTCTATAGAAAAATGCAACATTGGATACTCCCCATATCACAGTTAATAACAACTATGGTTACTTGAAACAATCTAAACTGAAGCTATAGTTTCTGAACCTAGCTTGTTTCAATCAACCATAGCTAAGATTAAGTACAACTGACCCAGGTTTGGATGTCATGGCAGGCTGTGGTTACAATAAAACAGAAGCAAACAGTTCCAGGTTCTTTTTCCTGCAGGCAGTGGGGAGAGTACATAAGTCTGAGGCTTGCTGTGTCTCATTCACATAATAAACTATCATTTAGTATTCTGTTTAGAGTGGCCCAGTGTGTTAGAAAACAGTACTTTGCTCTTATTAAAAATTGAATTTGAAAGGCTGGCATAAATTGCTGGTATTCTGATAGTAGCATATGCACCTAATTATGCTGTGTGATACACATTTGTAGGTGGAGAAACTATTGCCCGAGGAAGCAATTGTTGCAAAGCTGCCTGGCAAGGTGTATAGTTGTGAACATCTTCTAGTTCACGCCTCTGATATTTACTGTTTCTGCTACGGTGTGATTCTTCTACTGTTTCTATATTAGGTAGGCTGCTTTGCTGTACTAGGAAAGTTGTTTTGCATCAGGTGGTACTTAAAGTTGCTTTGCCACATTAACATTTGCTACACATATGACGTCCACAGCTGCTTTATTTTCGACAATGACTGGAAATACATTTACTGGAAAAATGTGTGTCTGCCTTTATGGCTTGGGTATCTTCCTTCTCTGGAGAAACAAAAAAAAAAAAAAAATGAGGGCATCACATGTACCTTGTGTTGTTCACCCTCGATTTATATAGGTATTATTTTTAGTGACATACTTAGAGGAGTCCAACACTCTAACAATGCCATATAGTTTATCTTTAAGTAGAAGTAACCTTGATTTAATAATTTACTACATGTTTACAAAAGAAATGGGGTTCTGCAGCAGCTTCTTGCAGTCTGGAATGCTGCTTCTCAGAATTCTAGGAATCCCATTCCCTCTCTTTGCATCTGTTTTTCTGATTCTTCCCCTCACCTCACCCAACAATTAGTCAGCATTCTATACACACTGTGAACATGCTTGGTCTTCACTGAACTTTTTAGGTTTTTTGCAGAGTGTGATGGACAAACTCCTGTCCAATCCTAGCTCCATTAAAATCTTCTCCATTTGATTTCAATGGGCACCTCTCCCTTGTCTTCTAGGAGACATTTAAACTAGTTTCTGAGAATCAGGATATGGCCCTATTTAGACAAGGAGATGCTTCTTTTCAGTCATTTTATATTCAAAGGCATGTAAACAGCAAATTCAGAGGAATGGCTTTGTTTTGTTAATCAGAAACAGAACAAGAAAGTTTTTCAAAACCCTTTAATGATCACCTCTCCAAGCGCCTGTTATGTGCATTTAATATCATACTGTACTTGGCACAGAGAGTGATGCAGGGGTGATCATTGTTAGCATTTTGTTCCGTTCTTCAGTGAAAGAAAATTCCCAGAACTGCTTACATACAATCAAACAAGTCTTCCTCCTCTGTCTGCCAGTCAGTACCCGAAAGAGTTTAAAATGCCCCACACCTTTAGAAATATTGTTAGGCCTCTCTGCGGAGCTTTGCTGATTAGGCTTTTCATTCCACTTAAGAGGCTTGCCCAAGTGCTTATGGGAAGTGCAAGCTGTATTTTCTACAAGAGGAAGGAGACGGAAAAGCTTCCTGCTATCACTCTGCTGAATATAGCTCTGTTGCCATGCATAGGCAGAAAAATAGTCTCTGAGTCAGCACTAGCTGGTTAGCCATTTGATATTCAGTGCTCTCTTTTTTGAGCTCCAGGTAGAAACAAACTATTGTAGAAGCTTTTCTCCAAATGTTCAAGGCTATTCTTAATAATTTCCAGGTAATAAATGGCTCATTACTTTCCCTAGGGGCAGCCCTCTTATCTTGAATATGGCTCTCACTACTGGAATTCATCTCCTAGACCTGATTATCCAAGTCCATTTCCTGTTGGACCAGATGTCCAAAGCCAGGTAAAATATTAGTATGATAGTATTTGGTCAGGGGAATGGCCATTCATGGAATGATTTGGTTCTGATGAGTGATGATGATCCAAAGTCGAAAGTAAATTTTAGTCATAACAGGAATAAGGATTTCTTCAAAGGTCTTGCACACTGGAATCAACAGGGTTTTCGTCAGCCCATCAGAAATACATGGTAGAAAAGGCATCTCAGAGTTCTAAAATTCTGACATGCTTTTTCTGCACAAAAGGAAGCAACTATGTACCATTAGCACTTGAAGTATTTAGAGCTAAATTTCTAGCATAGCTACTTTATGGGGCCCAGATTTGTGGATGCATATATTAGAGATGTGGAAGTAGTTCAATCTGTGTTCCAGAGACAAAGCTTTTTGGTTCCTTCTTGTGTTCCAAATGCCTTGCTGCATCTGGAAGCTAACCTCCCTTCCATCAGTTTATAGATCTGGTATAGAACACTTGATTTTTGGCTTCAGTTGTACTTAACCCCTACTGGTTTACTCTCTTTGATCCTGCAAGATTCCCATGAGAGTGCTTGGGTGAAGTGTGTCATCACGAAACTTCACTTGTTGGATCTATCACCACAGCATTTATTGAAGTTAGGACTTAGCAAAGCCAAGCCCTTATCAAATAGAGTCTGTATGACCAATAGAACAAACCGGCTATTGCCAAAACGAAGAAAAATGCCCATGGTATGGTGATTTTTCAGTTAGGACCTTCAAATGGCATCGTATTTGCAAAATTTAAAAGTTCTGTAATGCAGGCAAGCTTTTATATACACAAGACTCAATATACTTGCACACTGCACTTTTACCATTTTGTGTTGGTGCTATATCATTCTTGATGTGAAATGCTATGAGTCATTTAGGTTTTGTAGTGATGCAGAGACCTCTTCACTTGATCTCCAGCCTTAATTAGCAGACTGTTGAGTTTGTATTAATTATCAGCCTCAGAATTTTTATAAAAAGATTAATCATACAATGTAGTTGTGGCAGAGTGACACAAAGCTTCCTGGGCTGTGCAGCACAAGCTGTTCCTTATTCCAAATACCTATGTGATTCTGATATTGCTGCCTATTATTTCATCTGCTTTCTTTCATTTGTTACTAGAATCTTTCTTGTTGGAATCTTATGATAGCCTAGGAGAGTTAAAATCTTGGCTTCATTTTCGCTTCTTTAAGTAGGAGTATCCATGACAGCCCTCAAAGGCTTGTAAGGAAAAAAAGATTGTCAAAAAGGATTATTAATAGGAATTATTAACATTAATCAGTCTTGTTTCTGAGATTTAAGTTTTCTGCCTATCTCCACTGTTTCCACACATCCTCCAGGGCTGAATAAACTTACTAACGGTAAACACGTTTTATTTGCTTCTTAGTTACTTTACCTTTTTGACAAAGCCACAACCTTGGGTATAAATATTGCACTTGTTGCCTTTTCTGGATGAGAATTCTTGGCTATTAAAAGAATGGCCAGAGTTCAGCTGCTTTTTGGCTACCTGACAAACTCTTTAGTACTGAAAATGTATTAGCAGACATAGTAAAAGCCACATAGCACATAAAGCCAGAACTGTTCGATGTCTAGAATGCCGAGCTTTGATCTGAGAGATGCAAGTTTAAACCATGCTCGACCCTGAATTATTATAGGGAACTTGGACAATGCTTATAAATATATTGCTGGAATACTTTCAAATGTTCAGAGTGCTTGCACACGGTAGCTTCTAAATAGAGCCAGCTGGGGGGCTTTGGGTCAGTCACAGATTCTTAGGGTTGTTGTTGTTGTTGTTGTGGGGATAAGACTGGAAGCAGGAAGAGGATAATATAAGCCACTCTGAGTTCTTTTTAAAAAGGTGGGATATAAATCTAGTATTTATTATCTTTCAACATACCTGTCTCTAAGGTAGGCAAACATTGCCACATAAGATGCAGTGATCTGATCTCAGGAACTGAGACTTGTTTGTTTAAGGTCATTGAGTAAGTGTGTGGCAGGAACAAAATTTGAAACCAGTATCTTCTGTATTGTTAGCTCACTCTTAGCCACTTTTTTGCACAAGCTACAAATGTAGCATACAGGGTGGTTAGAAGGATAAAATGGAATAACCATTTATATATCCGTACCCTGCACTATATCTGACATAGTGCAGGGTACAGATACGGAAAATCAAAATAGAAGAATGTTTTTCACTGCTAAGAAAGAAAAATAAGTTGAAGGCTACAGATATGCATAGGTGGAATTCTGTTTTAAAATTTCAATCCTGCCTTCTTTTGAAACAAACCTCACCAGAAGAATGCACTTTAAAAACACCTGAGAGCAAGACATGGGTAGCTGCAGAGAAAACTTGTAACCGGCACAATGCATGTTGTTTGTGTAGCCCTTGTAAAGTAATGCTAACTTTCCAAGTAAAATAATGGTACCCTTCCAGCAATTACTGACACTTTTGAGTGACTGTTACATGTATCTATTCAACAGTAGAGTGTTTATGGGTAACTTTGCATATCAAGCAAAACACCCTGAGAATAAACCTCTGTGTCTTGGTTCTTGGTTTGCCAGCCTAACAGATGATCAGCCTCTGGCTTCCCATGACTTGCTTTTCCTCCTCAGTCCTTTTGCTGTGTCCCAGCTTTTTCTATGGCAGAACTCATTCATTTGGGTCTGCCATCAATCCCCTTTTTGCAGTTGGGCCTTGGAGTTGCTGGCTCCCAAGGGAAACTCCCCCTCATGTCCCCTGTATTAGTTTAGCATGCAATAAATTACTGGAGCCCTTATAAACAGGCTTTGACATTTTTATTGGGGTCAGATGTTTAACCAAACACAATCCTTTGTGTGCTTGGACAATTCTGTGATTCTGTTGCTTGTGGGCACCTTAAATTTGAAAGACTGCTTCATTATCACTCTGAAGTAAGACCATTCACCCCTAAAGCTGCTTCTTTTCTGTAGGGACCAGCTTCCTTTGCTTGGCTTCTCACTTCCCTCTGCTGGACTGCACTGCTAGCTGTCATATTTACATATGGGTTGCAGAGCAGTGAATGGGATAGTTATACGCATGCATTTATTTTCATTTCTAGACCACCTAATAACCCAGGCAATCTGGGTTCTAGTCCCTGTTCAACCATGGAGCAAACTGGGTGACTTTGGGCCAGTCACAGACTCAGCTCAGCCAACCTCACAGGGCTGTTGTGGGGATAAGATTGAGAGCAAGAGGAGAATGATGTAAGCCAGTTTGAGTTCCATATAAGAAAAAAACACAATATAAATCTAACAAATAAATAATAACTGAAACTCTCTGGGTGGTTTACAGCAGCTCAACATGCACACATATCATGACAAATCAGTAAAATAGAAGTGGGTGATGTGCATATTTCAAGGGGAATATTGTGCCTATCTGATCAAAGGAGTAAAGTGTGAAGGGGAAATTCACACAGATTTCCTTGCAGTTAAGATTTCCTCCTGCAGTTGCATTTGGGGCAGTCTCCTATTTTCTTTCTTTTCTCTTATTAGGAACACAGGACTGAGGACAGTGAGAGAGGCAGAAATTGGATGGTATGGCATTAGTGTTTGCCATTCTTGTTGGGCAGCTCTCTAAGATTATGCCCGAGTCTTCAGGGGCCAGATGACATACCAAGCCATGATGGGTGTGAATAGCACTACAACAGTCCATGGACTCTCACAAGTGGCTTGTTCATGAAAAATAAGCCACCCTCCACATGTTTTTACACAACCATGGCTGATCATCCAAGTATGAACCAAATCACTGTCTTAGAAGGGGTTGATACTTGTGTATCCCCACTAGGGGCACTCACAGACCAGTTTATATTTTCTTCTGCACATTGACCATTCATTTCACACTTGCTGAGTAGCACCTCTGTGCTAGGTGGTACCAAGCAACATCCAGCCTTCTAGCCTTACTGTGAATAAGAGGGAGCTATGGACTCTGTGAGAAACAACTGCTATATCATGTAGCCCAAATATTCAGGAATCCAGACTTCACAGTCTCTAGCATTCAGCAGAAATGTATTGGACAGTGGTTCATCTGCCTAGATAAGCAGGCACGTGTGTCAACAACTGTTAGCATTGGATTGCCGCCTTGCCTGGTTTGAAAGATAATTGTTTTATGCTAAGAGCTGCAATTGTTCTACCTTGAAGCAAGCTGACTGGATATGATCTCTCCAACATTGCAGAAACTATACATCTTGAGAAAGATGCAGGAACTATCTTTGAAGGCATTGCCAAGCTAACTAGCTCTTCTTGAAATGCAGTACTCTTCTTGCCGAACTGATCATTCACAATCTTTCCTCTTGTCTTCCAGGGAATTGAGTCTTCCTACACAAATGGTGCTTATGGCACTCCATATTCGGCTTCTGCGACTAGGCCACCATATTCCAATCTCTCGCAACCGAACTCCTACTATTCTTCAGGGCATCCGCATGCCCCTTATTCCACGGAATCTCCTAGCGTATATAGATTTCCATCAGCAACTTCCAACTGGAATTACCCCCCATCAGACTGCCCAGATGAAGGCTCCATGGTGAGGAGGCAAATGCCAGGATACCCTTCCCCACAGGTAAATTTCTAGTATGGGAATATGACATAATCTCTAGCATCTCAGTTGATTGGCCACATCCTTCTGCTATCAATATGCTGTTGTTGTTTAAGTGATATTTTGCTTAAAGCTTCTGCTGACAGGGTTTACCTGACTTTAACCCTCTGTGACAGACCACTATTTTTTAATTCTTCAGTGAACTGGAACTTACTGTTGTTCCAGTGACCCATGTTTACATTGTGTTTTTTACATTTCCATCCCACTCATGTTCACCCAAGAGTTTTCAGGAGATCACGAGGCTTGTTTACTAGTAAATTAAAATAATATTCTCATAATACTAGAACAGTACAATAATAGAACATATTACCAAGGGAGGTTGTTGCTCTCCTCACTAGAGGCATTCAGGATACAACTGGACAACCATCTGAGAGGGATAGTTTAACTTCATGTCCTGCACTGAGCAGGGGGTTGGACCTGATGGCCTTCTGGCCCCTTCCAACTCTACTATTCTACAGACATGGTAAGATGCACTCAAAATAATTAATCTATGTTTGTGGTAGATCTACTTTTTAAACTGGCAGTTCCCATATTTTTTCAATTGCATTTACTGCCATTTGGCTGCACCTGGCAAATCCTGTTTAGCATACAAAGCGGAGTAGCAGCAAAATATCATTGGGGTGTATTACCCAAGGTAAAAAAAATAGCCTGTCCATTCAAGTCACCAAACAAATGTTTTCTTGGTAGTCTTTAAATCTAGAGTTCCCCATAGGGTTAATTTTGCATGTGAAAATAAATCAAACTATATCTATAGGAGACATCCTGTTTGTATTAATATACCAAAACCCCAATGCAGCCCATCTGGGAAGGGGGTCAAAGCACTAAGAGTCCAAAACTACCAGGGGAATAGTCTAAGCTCAGTGGAGACCAAAATTTGGTACAATTCAACAAATAGGCAGGATGATATAAATCAGGAAGGCCAGATCTACCCTCTGTAATCAGAGGTTACATCCTTTTCAAATGTATTCATAAAGGAATGGTACCCTATAGGGATTTATAAAGCGAAGCATTAAGATTTTAGAAATGTTCACCAGTAATTTTGTACCCACTTTGTGAATGGAATGTGGTGAGATCAAGCCACCAAAAGGCTCTAGACATAACAAAATGAGGACAGAAGAGCAAAGATTAGCAGTGTTAGGAGCCCTCTGCCTGGGACTACGCTATGCTTTAATACAGGGGTCTCAAACGCAACTTACCTGGGGGCAGTCTGGGTGAGGCTGGGCCACATCAAGTATTCCACCACCGTGGTGGTGGTGGGCCGCTCATCCCGCGTTGCTCCCGGAGGCCGGCCTGGGCACCGCTGGCGCTTTGAAGGCCGCAGCGCCCCTCTCCCGTGCCCCGCCCGTCCCGGCAATTGGCCCGCGGGCCGTGAGTTTGGGACCCCTACTTTAATACGTTCTCATTTGGTGAATGAAAGAAACAGTATCTCCCTTTTCCTTCTCTTTGCAGACCTCAGGTTTTCCAGTCCCACCGTATCCATATGGTGACTGCAATCACAGCATTCCACAGGAGAGGCCCCCACCACCGCAGCCCAGACTTCAGGATACAACTTGGCGATCACCTGGGGTTTTTGGAATGCAACCTCCCTATGGCTGGTCTCCTGCCGCAGCTGGGCATGGGGATAGATATGTTGCAGAATCTTCCCCACCATGGTCTCCCAGTGGGACATCTCTTCCACAACCTTCAAGTAACAACGCAAAGGTATTTTGAGAGAGAGTCTTTTCCCAGTGCTACGAGGTCAAGTTGTTTAACCCCTTTCCTTTTTCCATCTTATCCACGGAAAAATCCACCTCTTATCCATGTTCACTGTTAAGAAACCTTCTGTATCAAGTAGTTTTTGTAAGGGATAGTAATAGGATAACAGGTGGCTGAAGTACTTCCAGGTTTCAGTATTTGCAAGTAAGGTTATTGAGGTATATGGGTCCCTCTTGACAACAAAGAACTTAACAGCATGGGATGTCATATTTCAAAATGTGGAGTCTAACTACCCTTGGCAAAGAATTTAAATTGAAGAGGTATAGATATATCTTAAGTTTCTTTACTTGTACACTTTATATATCTGAATCAAGTAGGTTAAAAAGACGCACAGCAGTGCATCCTAAAATTCATGCGTGTTTAGACAGAAAGTGCTACAACAGAGGCAGGCTGGAAGCTTCATGGTTTCTGTCTAACCATGAATAAGATTGTGCCCTTATTCTCATCAAGTCTCTCAGGTGAGATCATCCTATAAGGAAGACAAAAGTGGTGGTGGCTATAAAATATTCTATTGCAGTATCATAGCAGGTGCTTTCTAAACTTGGGAGTGCCAAACAAGCTTTCTGTTCTAAATCGTGCCTCTGAGAGTACAGGCACATATGCCTACAACTATAATCCTTGGGATGAGCTTCAGCTATTGAATGATATAGAAAGAAATGTATAAAATCTGTACCTTCCAGGTAGGACTGTAGTTCCCATTTTTGAGATTGTGGAGTGTACAGGTACATTCCATGCATAATCATTCCCTGGCCAGTTTGTAGTATAGTTCTTTTTACCAGCTGAGAAACCTTATCAGATATTAAATTGCCCCTGTGCGTCTGCTGTTCTGATACCCCTGTGCTTCTTTGGATGCGTGTGTGTGTGTGAGAGAGAGAAAGACTAGCTTCTAGCATTCTTTAACGGAACCTCTTGTGGGTTGCAGAACCCAAACAGAAGTCACCAGGGATTCAAATTATTAGGTCAAAGCACATTATGATGTCATTTGACAAGGTCAAAGTGCAGTGGCTTGTCCCCAGTGGCTTTCAATAGTTGGACCTTTATGCATTGACATCTTGAGCATGCAGGCCTTGCTGATGAACAGAGAGGGAGGCTGGCAGTATTGGCTGCCTAGGGTCCTGCTTGCACAGCATCTTCAGCATAGGATGGGGAACAATGGAATTAACAGAGCTGAACACTGTGTTAAAACCTCTCTTTTTCTGCCTTAGGATTCTTATAACCAGTTGGAACAAGGAACTAACCAGCATAGTTACTATCCTGAAGCCAATCACTTGCCTTCTGGGACCATGAATGACTACAAGCCAACACAGCTTGATGCTAAGCCATCTGCTTCCAACTCTAAAGTGCAGTATAGTGCACAGCCCCAGCTGTATGATAATGTACTCAGAAAACAGTCTGTGACTGACAATGGACCAGGTCCTAAAAGTAGTGTGCAGCTTCCATCAGAGGCATCAGATGTGCATCCAGGAATACAAAAGGTTATGAAAGTCATGGAAGGGGTTGAACAATTGGAGGAAGAGGTAGATGAATTTGTAGGAAAAAAGACAGACAAAGACTACTGCTTGCTGGAGGAAATGCTGACCAAGAAATTGTTGGAGCTGGACTCTATAGAGACAGGTGGTCAGGACAATGTACGCCAGGTAAGAAAAGAGGCTGTTCACAGAATCCAGGCCACACTGGAAGAATTGGAAAGAAAGGGGCTTTAAGTAACAGTCCTAAGAACCAGTCTTGGAATGCCCAAAGTTCTCTGGATTTCCATGACCATTCAAAACAATAAAAGGTTCCTTTCATTTTGATTTTGAAAGAACAGACGTGGTAAGACTAATGAAGAAGTTGGACCCAAAGACATAGTCTGGTCATTCTGTCAGTGAATATAGAGGAAGATGAAATGTGGATTCTTGGTTATTTGAAGGCTTTGGCTGTAGTAGCTTCCATGGATATCTGCATGTTTTTTCATGGAGGAAAATAATTAACTAAAGGGACTTTTTAATACCAAAATTTGTGCCTCCAAAGAGATCTTTTGGAGCACCAACATCTTCAACAGCTGAGCTACATGTTAAATTCTTTAAGGTACAAATGCATTCAGTTGAAATGCTGTGCCAGTAAAGTCAAGAATTCAGTCTCATTAGCTGCTCTTTTCGTGTATTATTTACAGATCCCTCCTTCCTTGTCATAAAAATTGTGTTTTGGGTACATTCTATAACATGCAACTACACTGATCAGTCAATCAGAGTAAATAAATTCTTCATGCTATTCCCTTTCCCCACTCCATATCATGCAGGTATAGTCCACAATTTTTGAGGTAAATAGAAGATGCTTTAACTGCTGCTGCATGCAAGTGACAGACTGAGTGTAAGACTTTGGGGCTAAGGATGTTTGGGGACAGATGCACTTAACTGTGATGTCATTTCCTATGTTGCAATTACTTGTACTCCACTTTAATCAATTTTCTGCTGATCCTGTATCATCAGCTCTGCTGTCTCTAGAGGGCAGGCAAGGCTAGTACTGTAAATCTCAAGTAGTCCTTGTTTCAAAAGGCAAGTAATAAATGTTTTGAGTTTTAAAAATAGTGCTTATGACAAGAGTTAAGAACAATATTGGTACACAGATAATTTAAAATGATAAATTGGGTATTACAACTATGTTAAGTGGCAAACTTCATAGGATATAGGAAATGTGTATATAATGAATGACACTGGATTGCAGCTCTGGTATACTGTGGTTCTTTCCACTTTCCTGTGGCCTGATGCTTGGACTATCTTTGACAGAAGGATATATCTTTAATTCTTAACCATTATCTTTTTGATCATCCATGAATTTGTACAGTTTTCTTTATAGTCTACTTATATTGTTGATTCTCACCTTATCATGCGCTAGCGAGTTCACAAAACATTAGATTTGTTGGTATTCTATATTTAAAAATTTGTATGGCAGAATTTATATTTTAAAATAGCAAGCATATTAGCTTGTCAACAATTCATAAAACAGTGAAAGCAAAAACAAAACAAATTACAAAGGCATGAAAATATTAATACAATGTAGCAGTTAATGAAACTTGAGCAGCAGAAAACCAAATCTAAGCTGATGAGCATAATTAAACTTCTAAAAAATAAAACCTAGCTAGGTTCTTTAGCAAAACAACCTGTGTCTACTGCTAGTAACACAGGTAAATGTACCCATTCAGATGTGTTGCCTTCTTTTTTCTTTTGCTGTTTTAAGGAGTCCCTTCAAAGCAAAGGAAACCATTTTAGAATCTACATAGAAAGGTTTTAATCCAAACAATGTCTTACTAACATTTTCAATTCTTGCTCCATTTTTAAATGACACGTCTGAAACAGTATGGTATATGGAAGTATACGCTGTCCTTCATTAAAAACAAACAGCTAAAACCTTTGTGTTGTGTATGTGAAATTAGTTTTCATTTAAGTACAACCCTTCCAAGTAGGATGTCTTATCCCAGGACAGGTTTAGGGCTGGATACTGACCCAGTTTGCTTATAAAAATAAGCTATCATGGCTTATTGAAACTGCAGTGTGTGCAAGGTGCTACATGTGAATTCCATAATCATTGTCCAGCTGCAGGTCTGAATCTGAGTTAGCATGTCTTGCTGGAGGGCGGAGAAAGCCTTCACTAATCCTACAACAGCCCAAGAGTGCCTTACTCTTCCAGCAAGCATGCTGGGAAAAAGGGATGCTATTTATCCCCAGACTTGGTACAAATAATGAAACTACTGTTTGTATATTTTGCTGTTTATGGGAATGTGAGGTGCACAATATAACCACCACTCCTGCCCTTCACTTACTGGAATGAGAGAGAGACAGTTTCCAGTTACTTCATGAACACTAGAAATCAAGTGGCAATGGACAAATCAATTCAAATCAAGCTGCGACAACCCAGATTCAGGCTAGATAGCAGGAAAAGTGTTCTCACTGTCAGAGCGATACAACAGTGGAACCAGAGGTAGTGCCTCAAGAGGTAGTGGGCTCTCCCACAGTAGTGAAATTGAGAAAGAAACTGGACAGCCATCTAAGTGGGATGATGGAAATTGGTGTCCTGCAACAGCAGGGGTTGGCTTTCATGGTCCTTTCCAACTTTACTATTCTGATTCTATGAAATCTAGCATCCCACGCTGACATTCAGCCTAGGGTACAAAGATTCTTTCACAATGCTGTGTTTTGTAACAGTAGGGAAAAATAGCTTTCTGTGTATTCAAGCAATGGGTTGCTTTAAGCAGTTTTAGCATGATTATAAATCCTTAGAATTCCCATCTACCAAAAGTAGGGTTTTGATTTCTTTTAAATAAGGGAAAAATGAGGAAAGTTTATTCTGAGAGACAGAATACCTCAGCCAACCATAACAATGGAGTGCAAATGAATTTGGATGAAACTCTGACACTGTTAAGCATACTTCCAACATATATAATCCCCTCTAATACAATATAATTATGACTTTGATTTACATTACATCCTTGCAAGACTCCAGAACTGAAATGAAACTACACTATGAAGAAAGCCGCCTTAGCCATGTACGGTTTTTTTTTTTTTTTTTAAGATGTTGGGTCCTTAGCTATTAAATGACTGTTTCTGTACCCATTATAGCCTCCTCATAGTCCTAAACAGCAATCAATCATATAGTCATCAGCCTGATAGAGGAACAGCAGGAACAATTTTGTTAAGGTGCATTACAATTTGGCATTCATCATAAAGTGTTAAAATGAAATTACTCGTAAAAGTGATAGAATTTCTCCTATCACTATGAAACTTGGCATGGGGGACTGTATACTAACTACCATTTACTCAGCACTGGTTAGGCCTCATCTGGTGTACTGTGTCCAGTTCTGAGCACCAGTATTTAAGAAAGATGCAGACAAGCTGTCAAGGATTTGATTGAGGGACTGGAAACAAAACCCTATGAGGAAAGATTAAAAAAACTGGGCATGTTTAACATTAAGAAACTGAGGGGAGGAATATGATAGCACTCTACAAGTACTTGAAAGGCTGTCATGAAGAGGAAGGACAGGATCTCCTTTTGATCATCCCAGGGTGCTGGAAATGGATTAACAGGCTCAAGTTACAGAAAGCTAGGTTCTAGCTAAATATCTGGAAAACTTCCTGAGAGAGCATTATGACCTAGGGAGGCTGTGAGTTCCCCCACACTAGAAGCGTTCAAGATGCAACTGGACAGCAATCTGAGAGTGATGGTTCAACTTGGAGTTCTGCACTGAGCACCAATGACCCTCTGGCCCCTTCCAACTCTACTATTCTATGATTCTATTTCTCTGTGAAAGCTGAATTGGGAAAGGCCGCGTATGTTCTGAATCAGTGATCACAAACGGACTGAATCCCAGCAAGACAGAGAGACTATGGGTGGGTGGTTTCCAGGTTTGTGGGTTGGAGAGTTGTCACTAGAAGGCCAAGTGACTCCTGGAGTTAAGAATAGCAGTTCAGTTGGTGTACCACCTATGCCTTTCCTGGACAGGGAATCTCTGGCCACCATAGCCCATGTATTAGCAACCCCATAGTAAGAGTACCATGCTGTCCTTTATTTGGGGCTACACTTGTGCTTTGTCTGGAAGCTGCAGCTGTTGCAGAATACGGCTGCTAGAATAGTAAGTGGGCTGTCTGGCTGGGCACATTACACTGGTGATAAAGCAACTGCACCAGCTGCCTATCAAACCAAATTCAAGGCTGCCATATAAAGCTCTGAACAAATTAGTACCAGCTACCTGGGGGCTTGCTTTCCCTGATATAAACCCACTCAGTCACCAAGTATCATTGGGGTGAAGGCTTGCAGGTTGTATGGCAACCAACACACTGCCAACTGGCAGCCAAGCAGATATGGGCTGTCGCGGCACCTAATTTGTAGAATGCTTTTCCTCTTATATTTTAAATGCCAGGGAAAGACTTACCTTTCTACCCAGGCCTTTCCTGACTGAGCTGCCCACTTTGATTTTTGGCTCTCTGATTTAAAAGTTTCAACTGAATATGTTTATTGTTATTAATGGGATCATTTTGTATTTATTTATTTATTTATTTATTCGATTTATATCCTGCCTTTTTCCTACAAAGGGCTCAAGGCAGCTTACATCATTCTCCACCTCCATCTAATCCCCACAACAACCCTGTGAGGTAGGCTGGGTTGAGAGTCTGTGACTGGCCCAAGGTCACCCAGTTGGCTCCATGGCTGAGCGGGGACTAGAACCCAGATCGCCTGAGTTCCAGTCCCACGCTCTTAACCACTACACCACACTGGCTCTCTTTTTAAAGGGTTTTAACTGTCATTTTTGCATATTTCAAAATTTTAGTTTGCAAACCCTTCAAGATGTCCTTTTAAATACAGTCAAGTTATGTATAGATTGATCAAGTAAGTGCAAATAAATATGTAGGACTTGCCTTCCTTCATTGTGGGAAGCTAGTCCTGCTGTGTGTGGAGGCCCTCCTACTCGCTCTGTTGGTAAGGACCTTGGACTTCTTAGGTCCTGTAAAGATGGCACTGCTGATAGTCCAAAGTATGACAGTTAAGTCTATTAAGCTGCTGAAACACTGTCAGAGTCACTGGTGATCTTAGCCTCTTGATCCTGTATGACACAGACAAAGAAATTACTGGCAACGTGGAAGATCAGCAGAGCAACTGGATAAATGCTGCAAATATCTTGGAGAATGCTTAGGCTGAAAAATACCACCAAATGTTCCTTTATATCCTGAGAATGGCAGGAGCTTCCCTTTGTCAATATAACATTCTCCCTCGCTAGAGCTTTGATTCAGTCTTTATACAGGCTGAGGAATCTGCTGCCATAGCCCGGATGGAATAGAAAATGACTGCAGGGCTTAATTCCACTCTATTAAGCATGCAATGAAATATTTTGGTCATATATACACAGGCAGAGGAACATTTTTTAAATGTATCACACATTCTAAAAGCCTACATCCATAGTGTCTTTCTTGAGAACTGCACATATTTTAAGGTGATCTCACTACTTTCATTGTGTATCATCTGCAACTTTGAACTTTGGAAGAACATTGGTTTTGAGTGCCTCAGACACAGATTACTTAAAGCTATATTCTGTCCATATGATATCACTCACAAGAATTTTTCTAGGTAGTATGTAATATATGGGTTCGGTATTAACTCTTTTGTGCATGTGTGCACAAAGTTCAACACAGCTGTTTGCAACACTTTAGGATGAGAGAAAGATCTGTTTCTAGAAGTGTTGCTCTTTGTCTCTGGTTACAGGGGGAAAAAGATTAGGACCATCAGAAAGCATCTATTTCTAAGCATCTAAATTCCAAATAATAAATAAATAAATAAATTTCTAAATAGGCTCCAGGGATCAGAAAAATAACCCACTGTGCAAACCTTAGTCAACAGATATGTGAAGGGCCAATGATGAGGTAAACTGACCTAGCTGAATCCAAAGGACTGTTTTTTCCAGTTTGCAGAGAATTTACTAGACCTTGGCTCTCCAAACCAAAGAAAAGCAGAGTCCAGACTGGCATCTGAAAACAGCACTACTCTTTTATGGCCAAGAGGATGAAAGATCGGTATCTTTGCTACCTGTTTCTTCTTTTGTGGACTTCACTTGCTATACTGTTTCCATTATGTTATGCATTTATAAAATGTAATGTATCCTGCCATTTGATCCTCAAAACAGACCCAAGGTGGCTAGTAACTGTACGCTCTTACAATATATAAAATTTTATTATTGTACAGATTCTTATACTGCGCTTTCTCCAAGGAGCAAGGGGATGCAAACAGTTCTCTCCCTTATCCTGCCCAGGTTGAACCTGCGTGAGGTACAAAACATCAACTCGAGTGCTTGGTGAAATCTTTCTTCAGCACTACCGATGAGATCACAGCCTGCACCACACAAGAAGGTAGCAGTCTAACTTACGGATGCCACGACAAGCTACTTGTTATGCTTTTCCTTTCAACAAAAAGAACAAAATACTCCCACCTCCCAGCATTTTCTGCCTGATGCAACGTCTCACTTTGCTCAAGGACAGGGCCAGCCCTGGTCCACCATTCCCAGAATCCCGGGAGGGGTAGGATGGACTCCCGACCCCTAGATACAGTGGAGAGTTAACGGTATTATTACGACACTCCACTGTTTCTATCCGGCCCTTCCTCCAAGGAGCCGAAGACGGTACGCATAGGTTTCTCCCTCCTCCCGCGGCCTTGAAATCTCCCACTTTGCAGCCGGAACCTCTGGGACGCCCCCTGCCCATTACACCGCTATCCACGGACCCTTGTGAAAGTAAAGGCAGCCCCCCCCCCGCGCCCCATCTCTGTTGCATCCGATCCCCCCTCGACTTGACGGCCTTTTGCCCACATGCGCTTCGTCCTAACCCTGCGCCGCCTTCTCTCATGCTGAACTATTTTTTCCCTGGAATAAATGCATCCTGCACTGGGGGGGGGGGGGGGGGGGGGGGGGTCCTGCGCAAGCCGCAAGGCCCGCCCCAATGTGTGCGGCCTTTCCCTTCCTGGGGGCGTGCGGCCCGCACCTCTTCCGCACCGAGCAGCCCGGGGACACGCCGGGCCCACGTCCCCGCCCGCCTGTGTCGCGGCCGGGCGAGCGCCCGAGGCCGCGCCTCCCCGCCCCGGAGCGAGCCACCCGCCACTACCCAGCTCCGCGCCTCGCCCCGCCTCGCCTCTCGAGGAAAACCAGGCCTCTCGGCGCGGGGAGGCCGGCCGCCCAGGCCCCGCCCCGCCCCGGCCCGCCCCGCCGCCCGGGGGAGGCCCGCCCCGCCGACCCCGGAGGCCGATGGCGTCGGCGCCGCCGGTGGAGCCGGGCTGGCCGGGCGAGGACGCGGGCGAGGCAGGCGGCGGCGAGCGGACGGCGCGGCCTGGCCGCCTCGGGTCAGTGGGCGGGGAGACGGAGCGAGCCGGCGGGGACGTTTCGGGGGCGGCGGCGCGGATCCCTCCAAGGGCAACGGGAAGCTGGGCGGAAGGGGGACGCGGGCAGCGGCGGCTCCGGGAGGCTGGCTGATGCTGCGGTGGGCAAGCCCGGGCGGAAGATGTGGGGCTGTCCGACGGGGGCGTGCGAGGGGGGCTTGTGGGATGACAGCAAACTGGCCAGAAGAAGAGCTGACCCCCCGGGGGGGGGGGCTTGTAGAGCGAGAAACCCCTTTCACACGTTCAGCGGACGCTGGCGATCCCGCGCCTGGGCTTGGGGGCATGTTTTCGTGGGGTGACCACGGGGGCGGGGAAGAAGTAGCCGGCGAGGGGTGGGAGAAGGGCATGAGTAAGTGGCACGCCGTACCCTTGCACGTAGGTTGATGCACGCAGCCTGCACGGCGGGGTCGGCGGTGGAATCAGTGCAGTTTGTTGTAGGGAAGCCGCGGGGGTGATTGACTTCGGTAGCAAGAGCCTGGAAGGGCACGGGTCCCCTAAAACGCTCTTGAAGGTGGAGCGCCAGGTAGATGGCACCCCAGGGGTTAGTTGGCCGGGGTTCAGACGGTGGAGGATACGAAGCTGAAGAAAAAGCTGGCTTTAACTGAAGGTGGCCCAGCGCTGGTCAGCGGGAACATCGCTGGGCGAGGGGTCAGCAGTGGCTTGAAAGTGACATCAGTGGTGTCAGCCATGGCTTTGGGTAGCCATGTGCGAGGAGGAGCGGAGCTGGCGTCTCACCAGCTCTTTCCCGGCGAGGGATCTATCCTGACATTTGCTGTCGATGCTGTGGAGCACGGGGGGTATGTGAGTGGCAGAGTGCACTGAGCTGATGTGTTCAGCTCGGATTGAAGAGGCATTTAGTTTGGTTGGATGTTGATGGTGAAGCCCTGTATCCAACGGAAGCTTGATCACAGAGACCCATTTTCCATTGTGCTGCTTATTGTGAAATGAGGCCGGTTGAATTAACAGTGCGTGACAAAGGTTGCATTCAGTGGCTGCTTTCCCCAGGCAGTTTGCAAGGACTAGGGATTCTGAAATCAACAATGCAGTTGTCCTTTACTGTAAGTTTCTGGCTGTTTGGATGAGCATGTGGACAAGGAAGAGATCTCAGTTGGAGGAATATTGGAACAAACAGATATGTTGTGACAGCTTAGTATGCTTCACCGTGCGGAAGTAAAATTGGGATGAATGAAATCACAGCTGTAGTTTGCAATAGCAAGAAGCCCAAACATCCAAGACTTGTTAGTATAATGGCTGCCTTTGTGGAAACCAAGTTTCAGAAGATCAACACTGAAATGCATTAGTAAGGTGCCATGGCCCCTTCAAAATATTAGAAGCAGAATAAATTATGCTATAATGGAGTATCATTTGAGTAGTTAGGATTCTGTGGCTGTACACGGCTCATTTTGATTATTGTTTAGAGTGAGTTTTCATGTCAATAAGGTGGGGATTTCTGTCTACCTTACGATACTCTTATAATTTCTCTTGCCATTTCTTAGAAAAAGGTGTGTGACATTATATAACTATATTTTCTAGCTCCATGCAGACTAGGAAATGCTTGGAGTTGTTAGACTTTTTTCTGACTCAATATGCCTAGAACTGCAACTCCTAGATATCATAGTTAATTCAAAGAGATAGTGAGACACATTTGTTAGTGAATTTTAGAGCAATGCATTTAGGAATGTTAGTAAAATAAAGCCATGCAAAGGGGTAATATAGTACATTCAGGGATGTGATATTGGTGCATTTGTGGACTCATATATGTTGAATCCCAAAATGTTTTCTGGAAACACTAGATTAATTTCCATAGTATACCCTTATGTACATGGAATATATATTGAGAGTTAGCGTGGTGTAGTGGTTAGAGCATTGGACTTGGGAGATCTGGGTTCTAGTTCCCACATAGCCATGAAGTTCTCTGGGTCTAGTCACTGACTCTTGGCCTACCTCATAGGATTTTTGTGAGGACAAAATGGAGAGAAGGGAGGATCATATACACCTTAAATCTCTTTGGAAGAAAGGCAGAATATAAATGAAACAAGTAAATAAATAAGCAATTGGGACTCAAGGACATATTGGGGAAAATACTTGCTGTGCATTATGTGTTCTTTTGGGGTCTTATAGAATCTTATTTAGATTACTAACCTATGTAAATTTGGCAATGAGGCTTACTTCTGAGTAGACATGTATAGAATTATAGTTATTTTCTGCTAAAGCATTTGAAGGGTCTTTCTCAGGTTTAGGGAGTGCCTATCAGCTACATGACCACAGTTGCTATTTTGCTTATTTCCCGCTTGCTGTCTATTGCTAGGCAAGTGTAAGTAAGTCTCATTGATTTACTCCTTAGTGAGTGGCCTGAGCATGTAGTCCACATCTATAATTATGATTTGGTTTGAAAAGTAAGTCATTTGTACAGTTGTCTCATATGTAGCAAAACACTAGATTTCCTATTTTTCCAGCTAGCTTATTTCCTCAGAAATTCTGTTTTCTAGGAAGGGCTGTTTTGTTGGCCTAGGAAGGGCTTTCAAAATTCAGGGACTATTGAATAAGCTGCAAATATTTAAAATTGAACTCTATTTTCTCTTACGTTGTTCCACACAGTGCGATGTCAACAGCAGACCAGCAAGCAGTGGAGCCTACTCCATCATCTAATAATAAAACTTCCAGCTCTTATGAAGCCGCTGAAACAGATACTGTAAATAAATATGAGCCAGTTTCTCCCCATTGGTTTTACTGCAAGGAAGTAGATTCCAGAGAAAGGTGGATTCCCTTCAGTAGACAAGACTCAGAAAAGCTGGAAATTGCCCATCAATCCAGTAAGTTGACATTTGATTTAGACCCTTTTGGCACAGATGCAAAAGTGATGTTGCTCTGATCAAGGTCCACCTAGTTCTCTGTTCCATTCATCATTAAGGACTCACGTATCATACTTATTCACAGTTAATTTCTAAACATGAATTGTGGGGTGTCCACTATCGAATGTCTTCAGCTCTTGCTTTATCAGAGTTCATGTGTTCTTCAGGTAAGCACTGTGAGGAGCTGGTTGTTCCAACAGAAGGAGGAAGATATGATGTCCATTTGAAGAAGCGGCTACGCCGTGCTGTTTACTGGGAGGAAGTGGAATCAGAAGTGAAACGCTGCACTTGGTTTTACAAAGGAGAGAAAGACAACAGATATATTCCATACTCTGAGAGCTTCAGTGAACAGTTAGAGGTAACTGAGGACATCAGGCATACTCCTTACTTGTAATCCTTTTATTTCTGGCAAATCTTTCTGATCTCCTTGAGAATGGCCATCACAAAATTTATGAGAGCCCTTGGGGTCAAACTAAATGGGATGTGGGATGTCCATCAGCAGTTTCGCCATCATGTTATAGAAATATTAATTGCAGCCTTGAGGAAAGTGACTCGGATCAAGACCGCAGAGTATGTGTGTTGTTAATAAACCTTTTTCATTGTGGCACTTTCCCCATTTAAATCCCCCTAGTTGCACTGTCATGAAATAAATTAAAATTAAAAAAATGCCTAGGCAAATCTATGCTTTCTGTATGTCAGGTACCTGGGTATTTTGCCAAGTGGGATTAATAGTATTACTGGAGTCATTTAAACTGAGCAAATGAGTAATCTCCACTCCAGAATTTCATTTTCCTGCTGTACTGTGTCTTTCTCAGTGTGCACCAAATTTCTATTTTTCTTGCTGTTGCCAGGCTTATATTATGCAAACCCATGGACTACGGTAGTGTTGTTTACATTAGTTTTTCATGACACCCCAATTCCATTCCAAATTGCAGCTGGCTTTCCCACCTAGTCTGTCTGTTACCTAATATTCTGTACCCCTCGAAAATGTCAAGGGCCAATGTTACTTCAATTCTGTCTTCCTTTGGACAAACAAGTACTGAAGAACTAAGGGGTTTATGTAGGATTTGTTTACTCAATCATAATAATAATAATAAGAGGATGGGTATATGTCTGTCCATCAGTAGCATAACACCAAGACCGTGAAAGCTAAACATGTGAAAGCTGGCATTCATACTAAGGGTGCCCTAGGACTATTTGCACTTTATTTATGCATTAATTAATTAATTAATTAATTAAAATATGTCCGTGTGGGTAAAGTCTGTAATGCCATCATCAATCACTAGGTGACAAACTTCCGTAATGAACATAAAGCTTTGTAGTCAAGGGGCCGTCCATGAGACGGAGTTCTGTGACTACCCCCTCCCAGGGGAACGGAGTGGGCAGACCCCTTCCTCTGGGTACACTATGGCAGCAGTTGTGCCTATGGTTGCCAGTAGCTGTGGATCCACTCCGGTGGGGTGGGGACAATACGTCCTGTCTTACAGTTATGTAAGTTATTTTGAAGACTTCACTGTATCACACGAAGTGTTTTTCCCACTGGTTTGTTAGAGCGCAAATGTAGAAGTAGAACGGAAGTGGGCACATGTAACATGCATCCCTACCTGGTAGAAGATTTGCAGGTCTTCCATAAACATAAAAGAATCTACTTGTTATCCTCAGCACTATGAAACGTAGCATCCTTTTGCCAAGCCCGTGGTCTGATCATGCATTTCTTTTGAAACAAGCCCGTGCTGCTGCGGTCAGCAGATCAGGAAGCCCACAGTGCTGTATATTTTCTTGTTGATGACAGAAGAAGGTTTTATGCAAGGGCTGAATGGAAATTTAAAGATGCCGGATATAGCCAAGAATATGCTTTACTATAAATATTTGTACCTACCTACCTACTTTTAGAAGTATATATAAGTGGGTAGACAGGACTGATTTTTCCCTGAAGCAACTAGAGATCATAATATAGAATTAAATGCAAAATGGCCTCTTCTTGAACCAATGATTCACTAGTAGAGCCACATGCTACTTTTTAAATAAATTTGTGATATGGAGCCAGTCTGTTTTCTGCATCTAAAGAAGACATTTTGGGCAAACCCCAAGTTTTCTAAAATGTTGAAGAGATTGTCTCCTGCCTATTGGCCAAAAATTTTATGATTAGTGAGAGTGGCCTCCTTCTTTTATACCATTTATGTGTCAGGCACAGATGGGTGTGCCATCTGGTAATCAGACCTCCAGTTGTTTGTAGAAGTGTAATAGCCATGCAAGTGGTCAATCTGACTGGGGCAGTAGTGCTGGGGAAAGCAGAAGGGATTAAGCCATGCCTTCCTATGACATTTTTATGATTTCAGTCATGTTTCGTAAGGGTTCTTGTATTCTCCTGTGAGACAAATAGCAGTTTTTGAGCTGGGTGTGGAATTCAGATTGGAAAGACAATATTGTGTAGTTCTAACTGGGTCCCTTCTCCTCCACTACTACTAATGCAAAATACTGCAAAAGAGAAACAAAAAAGCTCCAACAATGTATTTCCCATTGTCATATCTAGCTTTGTCCACAGATTCATGAGCTGAAAATAGTAACCCAGATAAAGCTGAACTGAAAGGGACAATTTCTGAGTAAAGGTACACGGGATTTTGCTTTATTAACTAAAAAGGTGAACTCCGTGTGACTTTTTAAAAGAGTTTTTCTTTTCTTAACAGGACACCTATATGATCTGTGTGACTTTAGATGAGTGGAAAAAGAAACTGGAATCCCCAACCAGGGAAATAATTATACTGCATAACCCAAAGGTACAGTGAAATTTATCATTTTTTGCTTCTAAGAAGTTTGCTGTTTACTCTTCTCACGACTGTTGCAAGCACTGCCTATCTTTAGTATCTTAAGAGTTTACTTCTGGAACTCAGGATCTTTGCAGAGATGGTGGGTTACAATTTCCCTTTCCAGTGCAGCCCAAAGATGTGGGAGTAGGGGGTGAGTATGCCTGCTATTTGGTGCATTTCTCCCATTTCCAGTCTTCCCACATGTCCATGTGCAGTTATGATTTGAATATGGCCCACATCTGGAAAACCCAACATACATAGAATGGTTTTGTGTGGGTAGTTTGCACTAAATACAACCTGGTTGTATGGTTATTGTGATCAGGCCTGTGCCCCTGTTAGCTTTCACAGTGTAGACTGTGTTCTAGCATTATACTTCTTGTGCAGATGTCTGGAATTCTGAAAGAGGAACAAATGAATCAATGCAGGGAAGCAGACTTTCAGTCCCTTTTACACTCATGTGTTGGATTGGACAGAAATGGTGTCCAATCAGAGCCATTATTCTTTATTTTCAAAGGGCTACCTGTGCATTTTATAATCTTGACACATTTTACATATGCAAATGTACTGCGTTTTTAAAATTTTATTGATAAGCAGAGGTTCAGTGGAGCTTCCTAAGATGGTTCATGGTTAGTTCAGAGAGCATTTTTCCTCATGTGGATTCCCGGGGCTTTCGGATGAGGTGTCAAGGCCTGCTCTAGAAGCCCACTTTCCAAAAACTGGTGCTCATTTCTACCACCAGCAGGGACTTTTTAACTGTGACTCAGGAACTCTAAAATGCTTTCCCTATAGTGGTTTGTTTACATTCCTCTTTGATCTTCTTTTATAGACCTATGAAAGCATGTCTGTCTGTCTGTCTTTCTTTCACTTACCAGTCTTATGAGAATTAATTGAAATTTACTAAAAGTATTTTTAAACTGTCATTTGTTCTTTATCCTGTTAAATTGTTTTATGGTTTTATTTTGGGAAAAAAGTTTTTATCAACTCTGAGCAGCCTCAGGAAGATCTCTCCTCCCACAGCACATGAGACATAAATGCTAGTTGTAGATAAAATTCAGCACGCAATGAAGTAAACTTTGACAGGGCGAGAGTTGCACCTTTGTGGGAGCTTCATCTTTTTTCAGCTCATTTCATGGTGATGGAGACTCATCTCCGTGTTGTCACTGGACCTGCCCACATGTCTATTCTAATGAGCTTTCTCTTGGTGGTTCTTTCAAGTTGATGGTGCATTATCATCCAGTAACGATCAGTGACGACTGGGGCACAAGCCCCACAGAACAAGGTCGACCAAGGACTGTGAAGAGAGGAGTGGAAAATATTTCTATAGAAATCCCTAATGGTAACTGCGCCTTTTATTTCTAGCTTAATTATTTTGAATTCACTTGCTTTGTTTGGTGTAACTTTACCTGGGGACTGTTCATTAAGGGTACAGTCCTGTGACTTTTCAACATGGTTTGGTGGGAGCAAACTCCAGGATTCTTTGGGGTCTGAAGGTGGTGCCCAGACCCCTCCTTGCTGACAGCCAGTGTGAAAAGAACTCTGCCGGTTGCCTCTCTGAGATCAAGAGCTGGGCCCTGGAGAGGGCAAAAGTGGGCAAGGGGTGGGAGGGGTGGAGGTTGGTACCCCTTATTCCTGTTGGTACCCCAGCCACCTTCTCTCCCCAGTGTCTTCTCTAGAAAGCTACAAATGATTGTCTAGATAAAATGCATGGGACAAGGTACATGGGCGGAGAGCAAGGTTGCCATGTGCGTAGGGTGCCCAAAAAAATTCTGATCTCAGAGACCTACATGCACAAAAGGCAGCTGATGAGGGTTGCACTTTAAGGCCCTTTAAAGAGATGTGACTAAAATGTTTAAGTACTTTTACATTTCTTTGAAAATGGCATCCAGACCTGAACAAAATTCTTATGATTCATTTACACTATTTCCCTTCATCCAAGAAATGTTCCCAGGGCAGCTTACAAAGATTAATAATAAATCAATCCTTGCCTTCAAGCTTAAAACCTAAAAGACGTTACACAAAAAGAAAAGGGAAAAAAGCAGAGCTGGGGCACCAGCTTCTTAGTACTTATAGCCATTGTTTAAACGGTTGGACTAAAATGGAATGCACATGCGAAAGTCGTAGAAATAGCTACAGTGCCTTGCAGAAGTACTCATTCCTTTGACTTCTCCACATTCTGTTGTATCATACCCTGGAATTGAGATTACTAATTTATCATATTGTTGCCATTTGACGTACACAAGACTCATAATACTGGGAAAGTGTAAAGTATTTTTGTCACAGCACAAAAATTAAGTAAACAAAACCAAACTGGCACTTGTTGGTTGCATAAGCATTCAGTTCCCCCTCCCACCCCTCCCACACAATGCTTGGTAGAAGCATATTTGGCAGCAATTACGGCTGCAACTCTTCTTGGGCATGTGTCTGGCTGGTTTGTGCAACTGGGTTTGGCCATTTTTCTTGGCAGAACTTCTCCAGCGGCGTCCAGTTGGCCTGGGACTGTTAGTGAGCAGCAGTTCTCAACTCTTGCCACAGTTTCTCAATCGGATTGAGGCTTGAACTTTGACTCTTAAGACATTGCAGTTCTTGTTTTTTGGCACTCCATTGTAACTTTGCCTCTTTGTTTAGGGTTGTTCTGCTGAAAGATGAGAGTCATTTGGGATTTTTTTTTTCTATAACCCATCTCTGATTGAGGCTACTGCACTGGGGGCTGTTTTGATACCTCCTTGGACTTCATGGCACAGATTGCTTAGATAGGTTCTCCAACAAGCTCTGGCCTTCCAGAAATTGGTGCATTTAATCTGAGACCATGTGGCACTGTAACTGCACAGAGGCGGGTTGTATCAGAGGTTATTTAGGTATGTCAGAGGAACAAGCTGCATCAGAGCAATACACATGCAACCAGCAAATGCCAAGTTGTTTTTGTGCCACGATATTTTAAATATTTTAAACCTTCCCAGTGTTGATTATCTTGGGTACATCAAGCGGTAATGACACCAGTTCAATCTGACATGCGATTATTACTTGCTCAGGATACCGATCCACAAGAATTTTGCTGCTTTGAAGGGCATTTCAGAGCTGGGTGGATGTGTGCTCACTATTGCTGATTCTGAAAAAGCTCACAGTTGCCTCCCCCACAGTCTAAGTGCCCTGGTTTCCCAGGGTATCTTGGATGAAAGTGGCAGCTTCGTTTAGGATTAGTTTAGGATTGTGTTCAACAGAGGCATCGTCTCCAGACCACTCATTTGGACCATATCCCACCTGTGACAGTTGCTGTACTGCTGTTATGCATTCTGTTTATCTGGTCATTTGTGTTTTAAATCAGTTATATGGTGAGGATGAATTCAACCTACTTGAATTCCAGGTTGTAACAGAAGAACATGTGGAAAGGTCAAAGTGGGGCGAACAATTTTGTAAGGCACTGTATGCCTGCATAAAGTTTTTATTTATTAATGTTTAAAGATAGAATAAAGATTAAGTAAAGCATAACCAAATGTTTTATCAAGATCTAATATAGCATCCATAACTGTTCCTTGGAAAAAAATGAAAAATTAATAACATGTTTTCCAGGCATACTATTAAGGAATATCACACCCATTTGGAAACACTGTCACAACTAGATGCATCATGTACCTTTTTTATTTCAGGGGAACCTTTACAAATAGATCATTTGGTTTTTGTTGTTCATGGAATTGGACCAGCCTGTGATATCCGGTTTCGAAGTATTGTCCAGTGTGGTAAGTATATACAAGAAAATACACTGATTTTGTTCCTCACATCTGAGTAATGTGTACCTGTTAAACAGTTGGAAATTCTTGTGACAGTGTTTAGCTACTTAAATCCACATTCTGGAAAGTTGCATACGAGCAGAAGGTTATAAGATGAACCTTTCTGTGTGATCAAGTGGTGTGTTGTGTGCAGAACTGAGCAACAGCTTTGTACTTATGTGTGTTTGTATGTTTTATTTACTTATTTTATTTATACTCCACCTTCATAGGGATATCCCAGAACAATTTTGTAGTGATAATAAAAATACCACAATGCAGTAAAATTAACAAAATGTATTCAATAAAACAGTAATAATGGAATCTACAACAGCAGACGGCAAATCTCTTGGGTGCAGAAAAGAATGGATGTTCTGTTTTGCACCCAAGGCCATCGGATCAGTGTATTTGAGGCTGAGAAGCAATGTATCTGCTGGATACGTTGGCTAATGATCTTAAAGAGATCATTGTGACTTCTTGTGATGTAGGAGGAATCCAGTTTGGGGTGGGAAACCATCCTATTTCCTTAGCACAGCTCTCCAGACGCTGGCCTGCTTTCTCTCTGCTCTAGGTACAGTTTGCACTTAGTGTTTGCATGTGCATCTGGCAGGACATGAGTCCAAGCACGTCAGTGAGGCTGGCTCGCATGCACACTGCCTGCAAACCCACTGTGCACACACTGTTCTGCCCACATACATGACTTGTGGGGTACTCTGCTCAGAGAACGACACACTCGGTGCATCCTGTGCAAAAAAGCTGCTTACACTCCTGAGCATTTGCCGACTTGATCGTGGTTTGGCAAGAGCAAGAGACCCAATGCTGGCCTCATTTTTGCATCCCTAGTGACTTCTTCTGGATATTATAGAGGTACCAGAGTAGGATGTATCCAAATGAAATTGGTTGCTTGGATCAGAACAACTTGTTCTTCGTTTGCATGTACCTTGCTGTTTGTTTGCATGTGCCTTGTTTGTATGGTACCTTGAGTCAGATATTTAAGCTTCGTAAGCTCCTTGGAGCCTCAGTAGATGAGCTGTCTGGAAGTCCATGCCTGGGGTGCTTGTGTTCCCCCTGCCCCCCAAATTGTGCCTCTTCCAACATCTCAAAGTGCCATGGTTGCTCTGTCTCTTGACTCAGAATCGAAATTCTCTTGCAGTCAATGACTTCCGCAGTGTTTCCCTGAATATGCTGCCGGCGCACTTCAAGAAAGCTCAAGAGCAGCAGCAGATTGGAAGAGTAGAATTCCTCCCAGTGAACTGGCACAGCACTTTACATACCGGTGTAGACGTGTAAGTGACTCCCACAGTGCTCCCAGCATGTCCGGCAGCTTTGCTTATATGTTGGCAGCCTTGAATTTACTAAGACATTTCAGAAAAATTTAAGAGAAGGAATTGATGAGAAACAATGGAAAAAAGAATTGGGAATATGTGTTCTAAGCCAGTAGTAATTTAAACTGGTTGTAGTAAAGGAATGTGTCATTGTGGCTATTTCCATTTCTCTAGATAGGACTGCAGCTGCCAAACCAGCCTAGGCTGGTAGGAAAAAACCCCCCATAGCTCCTTCCCCTGTGGTGTATAGCTTGGCTTGCTCACTTGAGTCATCTGAACCCAACATTTCATAATTAAGTACTGTGCAAGTTGATCTGTGGATAGGGTTCCCTTCACTCCCTTATGTTTCCTGTGTTCTCCCACAGGTGTCCCATACTAGGAAATGTTGCTTTAAAATCCAGTGGTAGAAGGGATGATCTTTTTGACATCTCATGCATCCTAATTTTGTTGGCAGGGAAAAGGTGGTGTGGATACCAGTCCTTTAAGTCTTTACCTGACAGTCCCTTGAGGTCAAGGAAACATAATTATGAATAAACAGGCATGGGATCTAGTCATAGGATAGTATTTGCATCTGTATCTTTTAATAAACAAATGTTATTTTAGTCTCACTTCTGAAGTTATTTCAGCGGCACACATTAAAAAAGCTTGAAATCATAAGAGAACTGTCGAAGGAGCTGTTAAAACACTCTTCACTCTAAATGCCAATTTCTGCTTTCTTTTCAGAGATTTGGAGAGAATCACCTTGCCAAGCATCAACCGTTTGCGTCATTTCATCAATGACACCATCCTGGACGTTTTCTTCTATAATAGCTCCACCTACTGCCAGACCATTGTGGATACAGTTGCTTCAGAAATGAACCGGATTTATTTGCTCTTCTTGGAAAGGAATCCTGACTTTAAAGGGGGAGTCTCAATAGCAGGTCATAGCTTAGGTATAAATCTTTGCAATCTTTAACTTAATTGATGCTTAGTAACACACGTAGAGTTTGCATGCATATTGCATACGCCATTTTATCCGGGTTTTGGGGCTATATTTATTCTGATTTTTGTGGGATAAGACAAACTAGAACACCTTTTTCTGAGCCAAGGAAAGGTATATGGTCATATTCCCCTTCCCCCTCAACATCTGAATTGAACAGATACGTTTATGTCTTGCAATAAGACATCGTTTGGTCCTTTGCGATCTGCTGTTCTAGGTCAAAGTTTTTGGTTTCCGTATACAAGGCTTTGCTCTGATTTAGCAAAAAGTGGTCACTGACGCTGCCATCCTCAGGGACTCATTTTGCGTCAACTATAAGCGAAGCATCCGAAGAGTAAAACACGCCAGTGAAACTTAACACCTACAGGTTGCACCAAAAAAGTTTCAGAGTGCATCACATAGTAAAACAGGTGAACAGCTAAAATACTGGAATGCTAAACTTTCCACTGCAGGGTTATCTAGTCCTTTTCTGAGGCCTGTAGGTTTCAGGAGCAGATGGCAGGAGCAGCTGCTCGTGTTCAGAACTTGTGGTAGAGGAGCTGCTTGCTGCTGCGGAGAGAGCAGGTGTGGCTGGAACACCCCTTGACAAGCTCTCCATCTCAGGGAAACAGCACACAGGGAGAATTGGCCCTTTCTCTCTTTTCTTCCTTTTCTGAAGGCTTGCATGTGTTGCTCTCCATTTTGATGATGACAAGGGTGCAGCCTTCCTTGCTTCAGGTCTTCGTTTTATATTGCTGTGTGGAGTTTACACCTGCCGAGCCAGGGTGTCAGATATAGGGAATCTTGGTGCCATTCATTCATAGGGTCATCATTAAGTCAGTGATGGCAGATAACAAATGGTGGATGAGGCTTCGTATGTACTCACTCAGCAAAAAGGAATTTAAAAATGCATCTGTAGAGGCTGCAATTTGAAAGGGAAGAAGGGAGATTCAAGTATCATATATTTTCTCTTGGGGTGTTAAAAGCAGCTTAAGGGTTGGGTTTTGCAGTTTCTCCTACCCATCCCACTCCTTCAATTATAGCCTTAGCAGTTGCATTAAATACGTAAACAAGTCTAACAAGAATTATGAAACAATACATGCTATCTAACTCTTTCATAAGACAGGGCAGGGAAGATCTTTACAGTGCCCTAGATGTCATATTCATGACCTTTCTAGGACTGGCATCCTGCTGACCATATTTACCCTCCCCCTTAGGATCACTTATATTGTTTGATCTTCTCACCAATCAAAAATGCACCCCTGAAGGAGAGGAAGATAAACATGAAGTAAGTGTTTGCATGTTAAGCAACTCTTCAAACAGATCCATTAAGTTTCCTGTGTTTTCAGTGGTGTTCCCTCTTGGCTTTGCTTCTGTAAACTTGCTGTTCTTCCAAACTCTCCAAAGGCTAGATGACTCCACAAGAGAAGAGCAAGCTGCGCTCTGCTGCCAAACTTGGCTGCCTCCTAGTTTTGAATTGGGCTGCGGCGATTACCATTTCCTCCTGGCTGTCCAGGAAGATGATAGGAAAGAAGGATAATGGGCACAGCCCAGGCTGGTCTGCCTTAACCAGGTCCCTTCCAAATGTTTTGGACTTCAAATCCCATCTGCATCAGCTAGCACAGAGTCGGGGCAGGCTGCCTTAGGAAAGCTCCCTGAGAGCCAATGTGGTGTAGTGGTTAAGAGCATGGGACTGGGACTCAGACGACCTGGGTTCTAGTCCCTGCTCAGCCATGAAGCCAACTGGGTGACTTTGGGCCGGTCACAGACTTTCAGCCCAACCTACCTCACAGGGTTGTTGTTGTTGTGGGGATAAGATGGAGGAGGAGAATGATGTAAGCTGCCTTGAGCCCTTTGAGGAAAAAGGCAGGATATAAATGAATGAATGAATGAATGAATGAATGAGTAAATAAAGCTAAGGACTTAAAATGTCATTGATTTCTTTGGGAGACACTTTTATCACAATCTTATGCAGAAGCAAGTCCTTGTGATTTCATTAAGGCTTAATCCCAGTGTGTGTGTGTACAGGATTGCAGCCACAAGCCATTTAAACCATATACAGTCCCAGAGTGAGGGAATTAAGAACATGCTTAAAGCCTAGTCATTGAAATCAATGAGTGATTAAACTGCTCAGTTGGTCTGAGCTGTATCCCAAATTATTAGTTACACAATAATAAAAACTAATTCTGCAGTTTAGTTAAAGCTTTTCAGTGACAATGCTATGTTCCAGTGACAGAGTCACAGAATTAAGCTTCATCTGCCATTTCTTACAGTTTAAAGATTATTGGTGGAGCCCTTTGCAGATTAATTACATTACACAATGTAAAAGTTCTTGAGGATATAGAAGTGTACTGGCACAGAAGACATTGATTATCTTCTTTAAAAAATACAAAATGCAGTTATCTGATTCTGTGTCTAGAATTAATCTGAACTTGTAGAGAACAAACACAGTGATTAATGAAAAATAGAAAAACTGAAAAGAGAATCTTAGTACATGCTATTGTGTAATTGGTGTCTCTACCTGTAGTCAAATAGTTTTGTATCCATTACGTTATCCTGCCTAAATATTTCTAAATAAACAAGCTCTCTCTTTCAGGTAAGCAATTTAACCTGGTGACTGTTTTCACAGGGGTCGCAGATTCTAGCAACTGGCTGTGAAGGCATCGGCCCTGTGAGAGACATTTTGATGGAACTTGACCTGCTGGAATATTGCTCCGTGTTTGAGAAGGAGCAAGTGGATAGTCAAGCACTGGTAAACAGGCTGTGAAGTTGCTGTTATCTAGGACTTCCTTGTGATGTAGCACGGTGTCCATATGGCACTAAGATTATTCAGGAAGGATTTCTTTCCTCTTGCCTTGAGTCACCTTTCCCTCCATGACCTACTAGGCAGGGGAGCCCACTGAAATCCTGAGGCAAGGTTGCGGGGCTGCGCAGCTCGCTCTGCCTGGAACAGAGGCACGGTTCCCTTGCCGTCGCTATTGCAGAGGTGCTGTTAAATTGCTGTATAGGCCTTATGGACTAATGGCAATGGGATCCTTTTAATTCAGAGAGTGTCCTTGGTTTGCATTTTCTAACGTGCTGCTGTTTTGTTTTGAATAATGCCAAGTCCTTTGGAACCAGTAACCCAAGCATAACCAACCTTCTCTCCTTGACAAGGGAGAGTACTGAAATTGAAGCTTCCAATGGTCCTGTGCACTCTAAGTCACTGTTCACAGTAGAACCGCATCTCATATATGTATCTGTCTCTTTGTGCGGGATGCTTATTGTGCAGGCCTTGTGCACGGAGAAGGAACTTATAGACATGGGAATTCCTTTGGGACCCAGAGTGAAAATCCTCAACTACTTAAGGAACAAAGTCAACAGCCAGGTACGCTTTGTTTTAGCTCCCATCCTTGGGGTCAGATTGGCAATATATCCTGAGTAGAACCAGACGGGACACCCTGCCGTCTGTCCATCCCCTCACCTTTTACTCACCTTGTCCCACCTTTTTCAGTGCATGAACATTCCACAGTGTTTGGGAAACGACCTCCAAAGGAGTAGCTGAATTAGTCAGTTGCAACAAAACCCGCAGTCTCCTGGCACCTTAGATTTATTATGGCATGAGTTTGCATGGACTTCCTCAGATGTACTTCAGCAGAGCCATCTTAGGAAGGAAGCTCTATTCCATGAAAGGGGAGAACAGAGAAGGAGGATGCCATTGCTTAAGCCATGCTACTCTCTGGTGTTTCCTCCTATTTTTTGACCCTCAAAGCAAAATACTCACTGTAACCCTAATGAAGAACTATGTTAAAAACTCACTAGAGTCTTTCTTATACGCACTGTATATACAAATCCCACCTCCCCATTTTTTGTTGGGGTAGGAGAGTGGAGATTTTTAAAATGTCTAGAAAGTTTTGTGCACAGGACTTAAGCAACTTGAGAGAAGTAACTCTGGTTTTGCTCCAGTACTGGAAGCACTACTCTTTACGAACTGAACTGCTCTCTTATGTTTCTTGCTGGCAAGGTGGCTGCTATACACAAATTCATGGACAGGGTCACAATTCCCTGTCTTTCAAGTGCAAAAGTCATTTTACCACTGAGTCATTGTAGTTTTGGATGGGATGGGAGTGGAGAAAGATTTGTTCAGATAAAATATTCTGATTTAAATTATAGTATTCAAATTGGTAGAAGCAAGGTAGAAAGTTGGAGCTTTGACACTTGTTAGCAGTTTCTTTTTAATTACGTTTTGGTCTTACATTGTGGGAATGTGTATATAAATATAAACTGCCCCAAACCAGCATCAGCACATAGTGGTCACACTCAAGAAATGCTAAATAATAGTTATGTGCTACTCTGGAAGCTTTTGCAGGATGATTCTCCTGTGCCAGCGATGAGTTCAAAAGGAAAGTGACGTGAGAATTCTCTCTGACTTTTGTTGTTATAGAATTCTCACATGCAAGTACCTGCAGCTTCTGGGGAAGGCGGAGATGCCAAACAGGAGGGAGAGACAAGGTGCCGACGTTTGGATGTTGTGACAGGGCAGGTAACCCCATCTCCCTCACAAGTCAGGACTCTGTATTTCGATATATGCCTTCTCTGGGTGGAAAGATGTCCTGCTGGGCTTTGAGCTGTTGCTGAGCCGTTCAGTTTCCCAATATACAGTATCTACCAGTGGCCAGTTCTTGGTTCTTTTGGCAAAACTTGATACTGCCAAGTCATTGAGTGTTCTGGCCCCTGTTGTGAGTTTCCTGTAGCTTGGTGCTAAAGGCTATTCTCCTCGGGTCACATCTTCTCTTGGAATTGCTTTGCCCAGTTCCTTAACTGGCAGGAAGGCACAGCAGCAGTTGTAAAGTTTTTGCTCTCCCATAGAGTACTATATGTTGCAAGTTTTTCTCCTTTGGCATCTCAGTCTGAGGTTTTCAGAGGAGTGCTTTACAAACTTCTGTCTCTCTGAGCTTTTCAGCATTCCAAAGCATGGTGCAATAGTTCAGACTAATGAATGTTTGCCTATCCCAGATAATATTTAAACTAGAGAACTACCTGAAGAGACTTGAATCAGTTAAAACTTGAAGCCTAAATAGTTTTGGTGTGGAGGAGGGATTGGCCATAAGTTGCTCTGAAGTCTTTGAGGGCAGGGTGTGATACAAATATTCTCTTTATTCTTTTAAACAACGTAGTCTGACCCTGCTCACAATGGGCATTTTTAACCATGGCAATATGCCCCCGCAGCAAGTTCCAAAAGTCTGCTACATGTTATCAGCTGTGAGGAATTCCCTTGTTTCATAATTCCACATGTCAATTTCAATTAATATACTTCAATTAATTTACCACATGAAATTGCTTTCTCCCCCAATATCCTGTTGTATTTAAATGCTTTCAGGTGTCTGCAAATTATCCTCAGTTAATCTACAAGCCACAGATCTTCTTTGCTTTTGGGTCCCCCATTGGAATGTTCCTCACGGTACGGGGTGTGAACAGGATCGATCCAAACTACAGACTGCCTACGTGCAAAGGCTTCTTCAACATCTTTCATCCTGTAAGTATGCCAGCAACGCTTGCTCCTGGGGAGAAAAGCTATGGCAAATCTAGACAGCAGACTAAAAAGCAGAGACATCACCCTGCCAACAAAATCGGGTATAGTCAAGGCTATGGTTTTCCCAGTTGCAATGTATGGCTGTGAAAGTTGGACCATAAGGAAGGCTGAGCGCAAAAGGATTGAGGCCTTTGAATTGTGGTGCTGGAGGAGACTCCTGTGAGTCCCTTGGACCGCAAGGCAATCAAACCGGTCAGTCCTAGAGAAGATCAACCCTGACTGCTCTTTAGAAGGCCAGATACTGAAGATGAAACTCAAATACTTTGGCCACCTAATGAGAAGGAAGGACTCCCTGGAGAAGAGTCTAATGCTGGGAACAATTGATAGCAAAAGGAGAAGGGGACGGCAGAGGATGAGGTGGCTAGATGGAGTCACTGAAGCAGTTGGTGTGAGCTTGAGTGGACTCTGGGGGATGGTGGAGGACAGGAAGGCCTGGAGGAATGTTGTCCATGGGGTTGCGATGGGTCGGACACAACTTCGCGACTAACAACAACAACAACAACAAACAATGGTATTATCCTCTATAGTGGGTGTTAACCAGGTTTGTCACGGTTGGGTCCCACTGGAAACACTGGAATTTACGTGCAACAAACTTGATCTTAATCCAAGTTTGTTGCACGTCTTAATCCTTGATCTTGATCTGAAAGTTACTGCAAAGGCTGTTACTTTCCTGCATAATGTGGAATGTGAGCTTGGTTGTAGAATCCAGCCACCATCAATGACCATTAAAATACAGTTCTGCACTGAACAGCACTGTAATAGGCACCTATAAAAAGATGATCATCAGAAGCCCTCCTCTGAGTGCCCATACCAGCTGAATTGACATGGGTAGAAATGGCCTTGGCTCCCCAGTTACAGAATCCCTTCCCAGGAAGGCTCACATAGCACTGACATTATAGTCTTTTCTGTGCTATGGATTATCCGTTTACTCTCTGCGTTTTGTAGTCTTTCAGTTTTTTAAAATACAATTTTTTAGGTCAGCTGCTGGCTTTTACTTTGGCTTTATTTTGTTGGCTTTAAAATTTTTAGAACGTATTTGAGTTAGTTGGTCAATGCATTTAAGCCTCATTTTCTGAATCCTCTAGCAAGCTTCAGCTATGGTGCAGTATATTAATATAATAAATAAAGAAAACCACAAAAGCAGAGTCAGATAAAATCAGGGTGTGAGGGGTGAAATGCAACTGAAATCGAAGACTTGATGAAATGAAAATATTTTCGCTATCTGTCTAAAGGCCAGTAAAGAGGAGGCAGAATGAGATGCTTTGGGAAGGGCGGGTCGAATGCCTCCACCGGTAAAAATCTGCTCTGCGTACAAGCCCATGCATCTCAGGAGGCAGCGGGACACAGAGCAAGAAGAATGCAGTTGGCAGATGAGTTCATGCTGAAGGAGGTGGCCTTGGACTGTTTAGGGCAGATACCACTCTGCAGGCAGATGATTTTTCATCAGTTACTTTAGCTTGCTTGCTTTTTTGTTCCCTGATGGTTTTGCTTTTATATTTGAATGATGGTTATATACTATCTATTTTATATTGTTCTTAGAACTGTTGGTAGGCCATTTTATGTCCTTTGGCATCCAAAGGTGGGCTAGGAAGTGTTATACAATGTACATGATTTCTTTCTGGTGCAGTTTGACCCCGTGGCATACAGAATTGAACCACTGATCCTCCCTGATGTGGAGTTTGAGCCCATGCTGCTGCCTCACCATAAAGGAAGGAAAAGGATGCATTTAGGTAAAATTGAGACTCTTCCTTCTCTGAACATCATCCTTCAGTCTCCTCTCTCCCAAAACAAACAAACAAACAAACAAGCAATGCTTTTTTTGTGTTTCTGACTGGTGTCAAATATGCAAATTAACTTTTGCTTTGGTTGAGCAACTGTAATATTTGTTTGTTTGTTTGTTTTTCAATTTATATCCTGCCTTTTTCCTACAAAGGACTCAAGGCAGCTTACATCATTCTCCTCCTCTATCTTATCCCTACAACAACAACCCTGTGAGGTAGGTTGGTCACCCAGTTGGCTCCATGGCTGAGCGGGGACTAGAACCCAGATCGTCTGAGTCCCAGTCCCATGCTCTTAACCACTACACCACACTGGCTCTCCAGTAATATACTAAGAACAATCTAGACTAGAGTCCCAAGTTTTATTTAAAAAATCAATACCCTGACAGTTTATGCTTATTTATCGTGCAGTGCTCATCTGTGTGGTGGCCAGACAGAGTCCTGGCTCCCAAAGAGCGGTGTTGGTAAGCCTGTTGCACTGCTGGAAGTGTGAATGATGTTTTCAGCCAAGGCCTGATAATAGACGCAAGTTTTCTGGTGTGGATTCTGCCCTGAAATTTATCTAGGTGGAAAGTAACTGTCTGAAAAGGCTGAAAGAGGAGTGGCAGGTAGCCAGTTTCAGGCTTTGCCTCTCCTAGATGGCCCTAGGGAATGCATAGGGGAAAAAATCCCTCTTTCTCAAGCGGTTACCTATAATCTCCACTAAGCAGGTAGTGTGAATGAGATGCTTGAAAGGATGTTTCTCTCAACATGCATCAAGATGAATTATTCCAGCAGGCATCCCATTGAGGCAAAATGTTACATCAAAACTAGTCTAGGGAAACAAGAGAATAGGAGGAGAACCAAGGAAAAGCTTCAGGTAGTGGAAGAATCATTGTGCACATGAGAAATAATGAGATAGGAGAAAAAAAAGCAGGGGGTGCTGGGTGTTTGAGCCAGAGGGATGCATTGATGCAAAGGATGAACCAGGGGCTGGACACTAAGCCCTGTGAGGAGAGATTGAAAGAATTGGGCATGTTTAGCCTTGAGAGGAGAAGACTGAGGAGAGAGATGATAGCACTCTACAAGTTGGAGAGGCTTTCTCAAAGAGGCCTTCATGGCCCCTTCCAACTCTACTATGCTACAATTCTGTGATCTCTTCTTGATCATTCTGGAGTGCAGAACATGGAAAGATAGGCTCAAGTTACAGGAAGCCAGTTTCTGGCTAGATATCAGGAAAAATTCCATGTTGGAGCCATATGACAACAGAACCAATGACCTAGGGAGGTTGCAGGTTCTCCCAAACTAAAGGCTTCAAGAGGCAACTGGACAGCCATCTGAGAGGGATGGTTTAACTTGGAGTCCTGCATTGAGCAGGGGTTGGACCCCATGGCCTTCTGATCTCTTATTCTATTATTAATTGACCCATGGATAAGAAATATATAACTTGGCATGTTCCAGAATAGGCCACTAAATCTGCTGCATTTAGTCATCATTGCTCCCCTTTTCAGAACTGAAGGAAGGCTTCACGCGGATGAGCATGGACCTCAAAAACAACTTGCTGGGCTCCCTGAGGACAGCCTGGCAGTCATTCACCAGGACTTCATTGCCAGCAGTGGAAGCAGGAGCTTCTGGGGAGGCTGAACACGAATCGGAAACTGAAGCCAGTTCAGAGAAACAAACTGGTGAGTGAAAGACCAAGTAGAGGATTAATTACACATTCCAAGTTGGAGAACATGGTACGGGATATCTCCCTGTGGAAGCGGCCTGTTGTCCTGTGGCAGGTGAAGACAAATGATGCTTGTTGCTCAGCAGCAGTCCTTGCCAAAAGCTTCCATAGTCTTCCGGAGTAAGGGAGCAATCCTGTGCACATTTACACAAACAGCACCCAGTGACTCCCATAGTTATTTATTTATTTTTCGATTTATCTCCTGCCGTTTTCCTACAAAGGACTCAAGGCAGCTTACATCATTCTCCTCCTCCATCTTATCGCCACAACAACAACCCTGTGAGGTAGGTTGGGCTGAGAGAGTGTGACTGGCCCAAAGTCACCCAGTTGGCTCCATGGCCAAGCGGGGACTAGAACCCAGGTTGTCTGAGTCCCAGTCCCATGCTCTTAACCACTACGCCACACTGGATCTCAATAGTTGAAGGACTTTACTATTGGGTTTGTGCCCAATACCCATGCTTGAATTCACCCATCCTGGAAATCAATTTTAGCTGTATTTATCTTGTTTGTTTCTTTTGCACTCAGAAGAGAAACCTGAAGAGCCAGCGACAGCAGCAAAAGAAGCGCCCTCTCCAGTTCATGTGGGCATGCTCAATGGGGGCCATCGCATTGACTACGTACTTCAGGAGAAACCAATTGAAAGCTTCAATGAATATCTGTTTGCACTGCAAGGCCATCTCTGCTACTGGTAAGCTCTGGAGTCTGGGGTGCTTATTCATTGCATTTTAATTCCATCCATCCTCCAAGGAGCTCCGGGTAGTAGTTTTTAACCCATTCCCTTATTATGCCCACAACAACCCTGTGAGGTAGGCTGTGTGCGCACACACATGGAGATGGGAATGGGGGGCATATCCACACAGTATGTTTTCCACAGTTAAAGAAGAACTTAAGTCCCATTTCAGGTCCAAAGGTTTATCCTTAACTGATAAATACTGATACTGCCTGAACTACTTCAGAACGGCTTGGGCTGCCTTACATTGCATTTCCAATAATTTTACAGTTAAGAGAAACATGGGGCCTTGCATGAAATTAGGCAAATGTAAAAGTCAGGATGTGAGAAAATGAGATAATTTGCCAGTAAGTATTTTATTATGTGCATAGCATTTTAATTTTACTGCCTTTATTTTAGGTAAGTTGCTGTTTGGTTTTTTTTTTGTTTTTTTTCCTGTTGGCAAACCGAGACTGAGAGGGGAAATCCACAAGCTTATGGCTGACCGAATATGGAATCTTGGTTTCTTAGGCATTCACATTGCAATGCTTGGTCTAGTCCACACCTCTTTCGATAAACCAGATTCTCCCCACCCCAAATTCTGTGTGGATTCTAAAATATGCTGCAGTGCAAATTTCAGTTGTTCCAACTGTTTCAGTTCCCGTGTGTTTTGTTTTCATTTGACATTATTGAATATTCCCAGTCATGGCATACATTAGGACTTGTTAGTAATGAACAGGCAGAATCCACCCCTGGAGGCTAGGGTGTTTCCATCCCTCCCAAGAATCAAGAAATCAGGTGCACCGGTATGTATGTATTTATGTATGGAAGTATTTGATTATTTGTGTGCTTGCTTGCTTGCTTACCAGTAGGGGTAACCATGGAACCTTCTAAACATTTTCATGTGTGCTGAGCTGAGGAAGAAAGGAGGAAATAGGCCAAGAGATGCCACCCCTTCCCTGTGTCCCGGGCACTTAATTCGAGAAACTTCTGCTCCACTCCCTGTGGATCATTGCAGGGTGAAGATGCTGGGAAGAGGCGAGAGGATTTCGACTCCTTTCTGGATATTTAGGATTAGGCTGATCAGCTCCTTTGGCAGGCTTGTTGGTTATGCTCTTTTGGATTCCTGTAATTAATTCTCTGTATATCTATAACCCCCAGGGAGTCAGAGGACACAGTGCTGTTGCTTCTGAAAGAGATTTACCAAACGAAGGGCATCAGCATGGACCAGCCTCTCCTGTAAAGGCACACTGACCAGCTGCCCTGGCCCAGTCACCAAATGTAAGTCCCTTCGCCTCACTGACTCACGGAGGCCTTTTCTGGGTTGCTTTGGAGCAGCTCACTAAGTAGGGCTGCAGACTGTTTCAGCTTTCTGTGTTAAGAACATAGGATTACTGCATTTAGGGAGATACCATGTAAATCAATGCATTGGGCTCACCGTCATAACTCAGGGCTGTAAGAGAATTCTCTTATTGGATTGTGTGAGCTCCTTTCTAACTTTGAAGGAGCCTATTTAGTTCCATTTCCTTTTATGCTCGCTCTCTTGCTCTGTCTGTCTGTCTGTCTCTCTCTCTCAACTTGCAAGCTGACTTTCAGTCGGAGTTCTCAGGATGACTTATATAAATATAAGGAACAATGGAATCCAATAAAATTGAGATTTTCTATCTAGACCCCAGTCTAAACCTTGTGGGGAGAGAGAGGCAAACACTATCAAAATCTGAGGCCTCTCCTGGTTGTTAACTTTGAAAAACTGAAGGGATCCCATCATAAATATGCTGTACCATGTCATGTGCATTCCTTATGGAGGTATCTGTCAAGATCTGATCTTAAGCAGAGGTCGAAGAAGGACTTGTGTTTTTCAGTGCTGAAGGCAGTACAGTGGTGCCTCGGCTCACGAACGCCTTGGTTCACGACCAATCGCGTCTTGAACAAAAATTTCATGAACATTTTGACGTGGGTCGCGACCGTGATCGCAGCCATCTCCCCACCCCACCACCGCAAGTGTTGCCCCTGACCTCTTCTCACTATGAATGCTGTTCGCTGGTTTTGCAGGTCACTGTAGAAAAACTTGTCTGGCCAGAAATGACACTAGGACACACGGATGAGTACACTGGCAAAGAACATCCTTTTGTCGTATCAGACCAGGCTGAGATGCTGTCAGTGGATGGTCTGTCTGAATGGAGGGTGTTCAACCTGACCTGGATGGGGTCACACTCCCCAACCTGAAGGAGCAGGTTCATAGCTTCAGGGTTCTCCTGGAGCCATCTTTGCCACTTGAGGGTCAGGTGGCTTCAGTGGCACAGCCTGCCTTCTGCCAGGGGTCCAGCTATGCCTGTCTTTCAACAGGGATACCCTGGTTTCAGCCAGCTAAGCTCTAGTCACCTCTCAGTTAAATTACTGCAATGGGCTTGTTTTCCAGCAGTCATTCTTCCCAATATAACTGTACTCTATTTTGCTTCCTTTGGTTTACTCCACTGACATAATGAACGATGTAATCTGCTTTAGAATAAGACCGGGGGTCTGCTAGAAACATAGTAGGACTGGCACAGGCCCTCAACTATATGATCCTTTAAAAAGAAAAAAGAGCAGTGTCTGGTTTGTATTTTCCATTGATGGGATTTGGGAGGAGGGATGTTCCTTTTCCAGGCTTACTGTCATACTGCTGGTTGTGTGCGATGCTGTGTGCGCTAGGGAGTGTGGGCAGCACAGCAGGACTGCCCAAGCATGACCAGTCTTTCCTGTTTCTTTCTTAGATGTATTCCACATTGAAAGCTCATCAGGACTTCTGTCCGTCTTCCTCTTTGCTCATTTGTTGCCGTGATGTGCCCAGCATGTTTTGCCCCCATTGCCTGGAGTTCTGGAGGACCCATCACCCCAGTGTTATTCCACAGTAAATGTCGCAGGCGCCAGATCTCACTGCTGACGGCACCCCATGTTACCTTTGGTGAAAGCCAGTGTGTTTCATGTCGCAAGATCACCTGCCTCAAACCTGGTTGCACACGAGCTGGGCTAGGAATTGGTGCTAGAACGTCACACCTCTTCAGTGAGAAAGCAGGATATTGATATGAAATTAGGGAATGTTATATTTGGCTGAGGAAAGCTGTGAGGTGTCCTTGCTCTGTAATTGCACTGGACATCCAGCATGGAATATTTCTGTTTTGGATAGTGGATTTTTGTTCTGCGCACCTTATTATTCCTGCTTTGTCCAACGGGGGAACGACAGACCAAAGCAAAGGGCTGCTTAAACCGATACGTGTCCTCCTGTGGCAGGCGCTACCATGATGCCATTGGTCATATCTTACCTTGGTGAGGAAGTCACGTAACTGCTCACCCAGGAAGAAACTGACACCAGGGAGATTGGTTCCTGTTTACAACTGCTGGGTGTAGAAATGATTCTTCTAATTCTGGTATTATTTACCCTCTGCTTAGTTTATTTTTTTCCAGGCCACTTTGGCACCCTGGAGAGCCAAAGAAGGTCTTGGATGCATCTCTGTGTTGAGAGTTACACTGGGTATAGGGTCTTATACAGGCAGCTGTACAACCAGGGAGAGATATTGTGCTGTTGCGATGCTTCTGTCTTCACCTGGAGAAAACAGTGCTTTGCGGATCCTTTGGTTCTCTTTGGCATCTCCCCATGGTCAATCTCCACGACTGAACATCCATTCACGTCAGGCTAATTCTAATCCCACCGGGGAAAATCAGGCCAGGATCAAGGAGCAGAGCAGAGCCTGTACACGAGGAAAGCAGCGGCATGGTGCAGCACATTGGGAGCTCTATTTGGTCATGGGTGATGAGGTCCCAGCAAGCAGCTAAGGGAAAACCGGTGTGTGCCTGCTTGCCTGGAGACCCTGCTGGCAAGAAGGGTCTCCAGCAAGCCGAGAAGTAAGAAATAGGCATGTGCCTGTTTGATACCTGTGCAATAGATTGCGTTAAATTGCCGGGTAGCTGCATTGGATCCTGATGATCTCTAGTTAATATGAAAGGTGAGATGCTTACCTCATTTGCACCTGAGGCTTGGGTCAGGAAAGAAAGAGTGTGGGGAAACACCGGTTCCTTGTACAAACTGCCGTACAAGTGAGATCCTATCCCCATCAGAAAGAAAAGAGAATTTGCTCTCGGTTAGCCAGGGAGTGGGACTGTGGACGCCTTGCCAGCCGGATCTGTGTTACAATTCGGTGCATGGCAGAGCAGTATGGATTTGCTTCAGTATGTGCTGCCCTCTTGGGACACTGGAGCCGGGGAAGGCGTTCCAGGATGAATGCAGGCTGGCTATATGGTGATGTGACTGCACGGCGTTACTGTACGGTGGTGATGCACTTCAGTTGTCTCAGCATAACCATTGGGTATTCTGAAACAAAGCATGGTCTCCATGGGTTTGCTGCTATTGTCAGGGATCCCCTTATGCAAGGGCAACGGAAAGCAACAGTGTGTTCATGACTGGGGTGTAATTGTGCTATATTCTCTCTGTAGTATGTCTCAAACTCTCCGCCTGTTTTTAGTGTGATAATTGTCCCCATTCTTTGCACTATTTGTCACTGCATCGGTCATTGCCTCATCCACCAGCGCTGCAGCTGCGACTGAGTCATGCCATTCGGCATGGCCGGATTTTGCATTAGAACCTCTCTGAGAGCAGAAGAGTCCAGGCTTAGTTCATCTCATCCTAAAAAGAAGTCGAAGTTTATGCACTTTGTAAAATATGTCTATTTAAAGATGTTATTTAACTTTTTTCCAATAAATGTTTGGTTTTGGTGCTTTTCTTAGAATAGTAGAGTTGGAAGGGGCCAAGAAGGCCATTGGGTCCAACTGCTTCCAGTTTACAGCAGCCCACACAGACGGCTGTCTTAGCCATTGCAAGGAAGGCACATGGACCGTTTCTTTTCTGCCAATACACAAAGCAGTGCTGAGGAAAGGCAGGAAAAATCTGCTCCTTTTGTAAGAAAGTCACCCAAATGACTATATTTTACTGTTGAGCCAAGTTTCCGCTTGCTTTCAGGATGCTTGAATTTCTGCACCGCTTGGCAGAAATTAGACATGCTTCCAGGAACACAAGTTAAGAGAGACACATCTTACTTTTTCCCCAGTTCACAAGCACAATATTCTTGTGATAGGGAAATGCCCGTGAGCAACAGCTGCTGTTTTTTAGTCTCTGCCCTTTCTGGGTCTTCGTTCTTACGCTGCTTGAACACTATTTCCCGAGAATAGCTCCAGACACCGTTCATGCAGCGGTTTTTGTGTACATCATGTGGTGTGTTGCAGGAGACACTGAAGCATGAACGGGAGAGATGTTCCTGAGTGCCCATACCACATGCAGCCGAGTGCGTGCCCATGGGTGTACATGGCTGCACCTTGTGTATCCACTCACCCGACTGCCAGATAAAGTGTGCACCTGATTCCTTCGTCACTTAAACATGCTGCACTGTAGGCTAGATCCATCGACTGAGTTTTCACCTGATTGGTGCGCAAGGCATATGCCTGGTGCCTTCTGAGTAATGGGCATGGGCTAAAGTTAGCTTAATTGCAGTCTTCTGTTTTACTGAGTGTGGGAGGAAAAGCAGAACAGTAGGACAGACGGGCTTAAATGGTCAACTTAAGTCTGCTGACCACAGCACTGCCCAACATGCCTCTCCAGAGTTAAGATGATGTGAGGACCACAAAAATAACATGGCTGTTGCTCTTTAAAGTACTGGCATTTTTACTGGACATTTCAAAAACGAGACCCTAAGACCATGAAAGCATCCTCTAAAGTTCTGCCTCTAAAAATAAATATACAAAATGTGGACAGTAAAAATGATTGTGTAGTTCTTACTACAGCAATGCTCCCTCCAGACAGAAGGATTCAGCGCAGCCTGGCCCTAAACGCAGGAACAGAATGTGCTGGCCAAAAGTGTTTCAATACTAGAAATAAATGATGGCCAGTTTGATAGTAGTGGCAACATGAAAACTCTACGGCCAAAGGACAGCACACTTTTGATTGCCAGGCACATAAACATCAGAGGAACACTGTAACCATGGATGTTTGCTATGTTGTGGCAACATTTAGTTGGTCGCTGTTTTGATCTGCTGCAGAACCAACATCCGTCCACAGGGGCAGGAAAGCATGCATCAACCAGATCCCCTGAACTGAACAGTGCAACATTGCTGAACATGAACTGCCAACCCTGGCTGAAAAGCATGCATAACATCACTTGTCGGTGACATCACGAGCGCAACGACCACATCCGTGAGCGCTTCACTCCTGGTCAGAGGAGGAAGTGCTTGCTCTGCCTGAATGGGGAGCAGCACAACTCTGGAATAAAAAGCTTGGGAATGCGATAGGCCGGTCTGGGCAACCATCCACAAACCGCAGGCAGCCCCTGCTATGCCACTAAAATTTGTGGTGGCAAAACCTGTCACATCATCCGATCAAGTTAAATTTGGCTCTCCTACTGTTTATCGACGTGTGCCTTTCCTCCTTGCCACTGATGAATTGGCACGTGCAGTTCTGTAGCTACCGGAGAACCAGAGTGGGAGAAGTAGCCTCCCAAAGCTGTCTACCCATTGTAGATGAATGCCTATTATGGCCTTTCTGCCCTTCTGACTGAGCTTCATATGAAGACCCATCTTGTTTTGATGAGCATGAGAAACACATTTGTAGTCTAAACTTTGGCATGAAGAAAGCAGCAGGCAAATCCTGCTTCTGGATTGCCTTTTGTGGCAGGAGGGAGCAGTCTTTTGCTTTCTGTGGTAGCATTAAAATAGAGTGGTCCACTAAAAAGCTGCCCTGGGGAAAGGGTGGCTTTGTAGCCAGCAGCTTGGCCAGGCAGCCTTGATCTGCCCCCAAACGTTCCTTGAAAAGAGATGGCCCACTTAAAAGTCCCTTCAGATTTAAGATCCAGCCCTGAGTGGACTTGTGTTCACGTTGCCACCCCCAGTTGTCTGCATTATGGAATGACAAACTCCGTCCAAAGCTGCACACTCCCCCTGTGTGAATGAACACCGAATCTCAGGACAAACGCAAACCAATGAAAGAAGTTGCCTCTGACTGTGGACACAATACTTGGGTGAAGAAGGCTGAGCTGGACAGAGATGATCTCTGTGAAGCCTGTGCCAAGGCAGAGTAAGCCGTTGGATGTAGGTTTGGTCTACTGCTTTCTGTGCAACTGCTCCAGAAAGAGGGTGCGTGCACATGCAAAGCAAGCCTTGAAGCAGCTGGTGGCCAGTTAGGAATTATGATGGCTTTAGAACTAGCGGTTTTCAAGCTATGCTCAGCCCTGTCAGGCTTCTGGGGGGGGGGGGGGGGAGATCTGACACCCGGCTAAGCAAAAGTACACAGCGGCAGAGTATTTAGCATATCAGCCAATCAAAGCAACCAGTTAATTGTGGAAGCTGCAGCAAGGCAGAGGAGGTTTGCCTGGCCATTTTGGCCTCTGACTGGCTGGGTGAATGATATTAGCATGAGTTTTTGATTTGCTGTTACATGCCATCAAGTTGTTTCCAACTTACAGTGACCCAAGGACGAGCATCCTCCAAAATGTCCTGCCTCTGACAGCCCTGCTCAGCCCTTGTAAATTCTCAGCTGTGGCTTCCTTTATGGAGTCCATCTATCCCATATTTGGTCTTTCTCTTCTTCTAACTTTTACTTTCCTTAGCACAATCGTCTTCTCCAGGGAGACTTGCCTTCTTGTGATGTGCCCAGAGTACAACAGCTTCAGTTTCATCATTTTTGCTTCCAGGGAAAGTTCTGGCTTGATTTGATCTAGGACCCACTTGTCCTTTCTGACAGTTCAGGGTTTTGTAAAACTCTCCTTTGTTTCAAATGCATCAATTTATTTCCAGTCAGCTTCTTCAAGGTCCAGCTTTCACACCCATGCATAGTGATCAGGAATATAATAGTGTGGATGAGTCTGATACCCTGTTCTAATCCTCTTTCAAATGCCACTGTTGGTATCATGCCCCAGTCCACTGCTTCTGATGTGCACATGCAGCTTGGTGTGACCATTTTTAGTGATGACAGTGAATGGAAGTGGGCTGGGATGCAAGTTTTAAATGAGGCATAGAACACATTTTAACAAAACAAACAAGGACAGATTAAGAAGGTGGACAGAAATGTGCCTTCCTCCCTATTTTTATACTACAAGTGACAAAGGGATGCTGAGAAGGCTACTGAACTTTGTGTCTGTGTGGGAAGGGCCAGACATCTCAGCACTGACTTGCCAAGATGGCTGTATGAATCCTGAGACCCACATTCTTTGCAATCTCCTGAGGATGACATAGATGAAGAAAAATTAACTGAGATACAACATGGCTTTGTTGCTGTACACTGCAATATGTCACAAGACTGGACTTGATTCTCCAGCCATAATTTTTCTTCAGCATGTTAACAGTAGGATTGGCTCTGTACCAAAAAGATGCAGCTTTGACATTCAACAGAAACTACCCTGATTCTTTATAGAATATGCTGCTAAGACTAGAGTTTGCAGAGTTTAGATTTTCCAAGACAGGGATCAAAAAAAAAAAAAAAAAAAAAAGGAGAGAGAGAGAGGTGGGAAATAAGGAAAATTAAAGACATACACATAGCCATGGCCCACTGTCCAAGTGTTTGGTCTTCTGACAGTGCAAGATGATGCTCATGTTCTACTAAGCTTTCCTTCATTGCTCCAAGGACTCAACTTCAGGCTTCAAATTGGAACCTACCATTCCGGGCCACCAAACATATGTGCTGCTCTTATTCACAGTGCTAGTTCTATCTAAAGGAGGACCTTTTCCATGCAGCACAGAACCTGCTTTTGAAGGCAGCCAAAAGGACCACAGGCTTGGGAATGGCAAAGGATCTGGTGCTGAGTCCATTGCAGAGTCTTGTGGCAATAAGGTGGCAAATGGAAGAAGCTGATGAAGAGCTGTCTTCATCAGAAGTACGAAGCACTATCCTACAGCAGCAGGAAGCCGCCTACTGCTTCCAAAGGTTTTGGTTTACAACTCCCATCAGCCCCAGCCACCAAGACCAGCAGTCGGGGATTATGACATTCCCCTGCTCTCCTGTTTAAATTTCTCAGTCTACTCTGTCTGCAATCCCTAAGCTCATTTATTAGAGGACGTTCCATTCACTGCTGTGGAACCGATCTTGGGAGCAGAGCTGCTCAGGATCGCAGACTGATATTTACCTGTCTATTGGAAAGAGCGAAACTTCATGCTGTGAAGGTGGCACTCGCACATCCAATCAAGCAAGTGTCGCTCGGACGTCTGCCTCAATAAACTTTCAGATGCTGCTGACCTCTTGCATGGAGACCTTTGAAAGCAAACAGCAGCTGCCGATGTGTGTGTGCAGGTGAGGAGGAGACAGGAGGTAGTTATGTTTGCAGAAAACACAGCTCTCCTTGAAATCCTTCTGGCATGTGCCGACTATCGAGTTGTTACAATGCAGGGCAACCTTTCTTAGTATGCAGCTTGGTGTGCTCAAGTCGCCTGGAGCCACAGCTCTTCAGATGCCCTCTTCTGTAGGATGCCTGCTTGCAGCTCAGCAGCCAGAACGGCTTTATATTGATCTGTGGGGAGGAGAACTGCAGGTTCAGCAGCCTTGCACTGGAAGCAGAGCAGCTGGACTAGCTCGTCGTGACGGGTTTGTTGCGATTTTCTGAGAGACTTTTTTTTCTAACATTGGCTATAAAGAACCAGCTTGGATTCCAAGATCCTGTTTTGTCTGGGACACGGGGGGGACACGCCTCTCACAGCATGTCACACCAGCACAAGGCAGTGCTCCTTTCTCAGCCAAAGACTTGTGAGGGAGAAGGGTCATGAGCTGCCCAGAGCCCCAAGCGGGCTGCTGCTGCTTTGAATGAGGGTGCCCGTTTTCCTTCCAGACCCAGGGTAGCATGGACTCCTGTGCCCTCTGTTCTCCTCTAGTCCGGGGCTTGCAGGTTCTGTGGCTGGGGTCCTCCAGTTTTTTATACGTCTAAGCTGAAGCCAGAGACTGTCAACTTTTGCCTCTCTGGGGCAGAGAACCTTGACTTGCGTTGCAGCGGCTGATGGCACTCGGGGTCGGTCAGAGGCGGGTAATGCTGTCTGTAGCAGAGGTACGCAAACACAAAGCCCATTCCTGAACCAACCAGCACATCTTGGAGGGAAACAGAAGAGGAGAGGGTGCAAAGAAAATTTCAGCTTAGGCTGGCTTACAAGAGCACTTAATCAGTGCATCAAGGTGTTAATCTGAAATCAGTCCATCCTGTGAGTCAAATTGTACAGCTCCAGTTTGAAATCTCCCTTTTCTGGAGAAAATCCAACTTTCTTTTTTGGAAAAGGGAAGCGAATATCCTCCCAAACACAGCTGCAGTATGCCAGGGTGGACTACCTTTTTGTTAACCTGATATTATTTTGGACCAACAGCAGTTCTCCAGGACTCTCTCAATTACTCCTGTCATGCTCCTACTTACTGGCCTCCTATCCCTTTATTATGCTGGCGATATAATGCTCTTAAACTCCCACCAAGCTATTATTTCCAGCTATAAGCAACCAAGGAGAATCGATAGTTCGGGGACGAGCTAGGGCCCCCCAATCCATTCCTTACACAACACTATGCTGTGATAGATCTTCCCTCTTAACCAGAGTGCTCGTGTCCAAGGTGTCAGCTGGACATGCCCTGAAATATTTCATTTCATCCTTCCCTTTTTCCATTCCAACTGACCCGTCCACCTTCTGCAGTCGCTCAGTTCTATTGAATGAATGAATCTTTCTGTTTAAAACACCATTTGGATTGGTGCAAACCCTGGGTGATCCTCCAGGCATGCCAGAACGCCCCTCTTGTTTCTCAGCAGCCTCGTCTGGGTTCCATTTCAGGCAGAACCCAAGTTTAACTATTAGAGGCAGTGATGCTCTTTAAGTAAAAGGTCCCAGTTGGATAGCTGGTAGCTCTGGCGAAAAGGTTCAAGTATCATGTAATGCAAAAGGCCTCTACCTGAAACCCCGGAAATGTGCCATTCAGAGAATACTGGGCTAGCTAGACAAATATGCTGGCATAAGGCAGTTCTCGGTGCAGCCCCTGTTAGCAAAAGTTGATCTTACTGGCCATTGTAATCATTTTGGCAAAGAGTGCTCTACGCATGGAGAGAAGACATAGCTGTGTGTTTGACCCACAAGCAGCTTAACCAGGGAGGGAACAGCCCTCCTAACCCTGCAGGTCTGACACATCTGGCTTAAGAGTGGGGCTTCCATTTACTGGAGAGTAAGCCACACTGCACCTTTGTCCAGGGCGAGCCACTTGCCAGCCGTACGTCCTGGAGAGCCACCGTTCCTGGCCAAAGGTGAGCTGCAGTGGAAGCAGCTGGCCTGGGGGAGGCCAAGGTTCCCAGCCCTGCCCAACACATCACCTGACACCTGCCTCACCTCCCCATCGAGGCTTCACTCACCTTGCCAGTGATGCTTGTAATCACAGGTGCGGGACAGCGCGATGAGCATGGCAATGAAGAGCGGTGCTAAGAAGGCACAGAGGCGCCAGGACTGCCCCCGCCCGCCGGGTGCGAAGCAGTGGAGCTTTCCTGCTATGTAGAAGGAACCAAAGGCCAGCCCAGCAAAGGCAACTGAAAGACAGAAGGGAAGACGGAGATGGAGCGGTGCAAGCCGCCATCGCTATGGGTCCCTGGGGATGTGTGGAAGAAGAGGCCTCATCTCTGGCAAGATTGGAGCACAGCCTGAGCTTGGGACAGAGGCAGGCACCGGGGGCAGCGTTGTGTAGTGGTTAGTGTACTGGACTGGGAAGCTGGAGACCCAGGTGAAATTCCCCACTCAGCCATAAGGCTCCCTGCGCGACTCCAAGCCAGGCACTGGTTTTCAGCCAGCCGAAACAGAGAGGTTTTATACCCTTCCTTTATAAAGAATTCTGTGGTACCTAACATTTTTTTAAAAGTAAAAACAAACAAATAGAAGACCAAAATAGGGATGACAGTAGCAAGACATAATACAAGCAGAAAACAAATTTCCCATGAAAATAATAAAAGCAGGCTGGAATCCAATGCCTATTTACCTAGGAGTAAACCTCACTGAATTGAAGGGGATTTCCTTCTGTGTGGATATGTATAGATTGTGCTAGCAGTAGAACTTTTAAATAAAGCAAACTGTAGACCAAGGAAGAGTGAGGGAGAGCATGATGAAAGCACAAGTCTTCAATATGTTTATTTACACTACTATCTTATCCATGTCTACTCAGGAGTAAGCTCCAGGCAGTTCAGTGGTGCTTAAGTAAGCAGGAATAGGATGGCAGCCTTAGGTTTTGATTTTTTGGCCAGCACTGCTACTGACTGGACCACAGCTGAGCAAAAAAGTAAGTTTGGCGCTGTGTAATCTGTTTAAAAAACACACCCTCATGAGTTCCCAAACCACTGAAAAACAGGAAGGGGATGTTTTCAAGGGAATACTGCAATTAGTGTGTCCCGGTAGCTAGAGCCTACCCTGGCTGCAGGTACATTCCCCCAAGGGCATTGGGAGGAATGGAAAAATCAGACAGAATATCCCACAGCACACCACCAGACTCTAGACAGCTGACTGGGGAACCTGTAGCCCTTCAGATGCTGCTGGACTCCAACCCCCATCAGCCCCAGTCAGGCCGGTCAATGGTGAGAGAGGATGGGACTGGCAGGCCATCGTTCGTGTGTTCCCTTTGAAGGATGCTACGACTTCAGTGGATTTGCACAGCCGTTCTGTGTCCACCTCACTCACACACTGCCCTTTGCAGGGGCAGCCCAAGGAAGCTCAGACAGACATGCCCACGATCTCTCCACAGCCCGGCTATCCCACCCTTCCGCCCGAGGCCCGCCATCCCTGGCCACATCCCACAAAGGCGCACTTGTGAACTCACACGAGGAATGTCCACTGGGGAAGCTCTTGCGGCCTTCCGTCACGACCTGTACATCGCCCGTGCACAGCAGCTGAAGGGTTGCCGAAGGCTGAAGCATTTCCCGTCCGTCTGGAAAGCAGCGGTAGAAGAAATCGGGCCGTGGCCTAGAGTGACGAGGAAAGGATGAGCCTTCGCAGTGCAATGGAGAAAACCGAAATGAGGGAGGGTTTGAGAAGACACAGGAGGGGGAGAGTGGCAGTTGTGTGCCGATGTCCACAGCCTATGCATTCAGAGCATCTTGCAGCCTCTGGAAATGCCAGAGCTTTCCATGCCTTCTTTGAGAACCCTCGCAAGCCCCTTCCTTGGATTGAGGGCTGCTTGGAACCCAAATCTCCAGGTTATTGGGTGTCCAGAACAGACTAACAGAAGAGGATGGAAGGAGCAAGGAGGTCACCGTGGTTTGCACAGAACGGGACAAGATACCAGCACAAGGTATCTGGCATCATCAAGCTTTCAGAACCATAGTTGCCTCAAAATTAATTGCTTGGTTTACAGAGAGAGGAGAGAAGGTGGTGACTGAATGGGCTAAAGATCTCTCTGGTGGACAGCAGCAAAACAATATTTTAGAATGCCCCCCCTATGGAGGAAAACAATGACCCTGTAAGTACAAAACCAGCACATCTGGACTAGAACCCTCCTCCATGTATTAGTTTTCTGCTGCTGACAGAACATTCCACATGGTGGGAGTATTTGGAAGAGCAAGTGCCCACACACCCACTGCTGTCTGCATTGATTCAGGCCACTTGGCCACCTAACTTTGCAGCACACATTCCAGGCCCCTGCAAGTGGCAGTCAAAGTATCCATCTGCGCTCTTTGCAGAAATTCTAGAACAGACACGAGAGAGAGGATCTCACCTGCCCACAGCCAGCTTCACAGCATTGGTGAAGATGCCATTCAGGGCAAGAGCCAGGCTGACAGCTGGAAAGAGAAGAGCACAGGACCAGCAACATCATTCTTAGCATCCTTTCCGATTCTGTCCTGATCAGGCCCATAGCCAGGCATTTTTGAGGTGCAGGGGGAGTCCCTGAGGCAGAGGGAAATCATTGCAGCTCAGCCAGAAGGTGAATGTCAATACAAGTGACTGAATTGCATCCCATCTTAAAAAAATAACCTTTAATTTCCCCAAATGTATAAATAAAGAGCTACTGCTTTCCCAGCATGTTTGTTCTCATGGACCTGAGAATATTAGAGGGAACAAGCAAGAGGGTACTGCCAGGGGCTGCTCTGAGGCTTGGGTCTGGCTAGCCCTGCCTCTGATGACTTCCTGCCAGCAAGCAAGCACTTTGCCATTCAGGTCTGCAAACTGACTCATGCCTATGCTTTAACTGGTTTTATCCAGCTTTCAATTGCTCTAATTGGTGCACTTTAGCGGCCATATTCTTGTTTTCACACTCCACATCTCATTGCTATTTTATTGCACCTTCTAGTTTAGTTCTGTTACTGCTGTTAGTCATCAAGCACCATTTAGTAGAAAGCCACAGTGCAAATTCAGTAAACTGCAAAATTTAGATTTACAAATGTAAATAGTACCATCTGCAAATTCCAGAATTCTCCATTATAAGCAGCTTTCATTACAGAGTCCCATTTCTGGATGCTAGTGCAGTGCAATGCTTAGAGCACTGCTCCGCACGTTCTGGGTCCCCACGGCCGGCCCGCCCATCCTGGCGCAGCCCCATGCATAGCAACTGCTGTGGTTTAAAGCTGCCACTTCAGTCTGAACCTGCTAACACCTGTCATGCCGTGCTCACCTAAGCATGCTTCTCGTGTGTCCTCTCGGTCAGCCTTCATGAAGAATTTGGCCAGAAGAATCAAAACCACAGGAGATAAAAAGGAAATGACCTGGAACAAGATGGCAGAGGCAGAATCACAGGAAGAGGAATGGCATGAACAGTGGCAGAACGCAGCTACTTAGACAAAAGGAGAGACTTTAAAAACAATCCGCAAAGTGTTTTTCTGCATTTATTATTTCCTCGGGGAGGCAGACTTTAAACAGGCTTTTTCAAAAATAAGTGCTTTGTCTTTTGTCAAAGGCTGTGGCTCTGCTCCTCGATGCTTTACGAAAGCGGGATTGCATGCTTTTAGCAGAGCGACAGACTGGAGGAAAAAAACAGCAGATTCATCACTGTTTCTCCTGTGATTTTCTTACAGCATAAATGCAGCCAAGAGGAGGGAGAGCAATGATGCTGACTGAGACCACATCACAGATGGTACTGGTGCTAAGCATGACCTTCTGTTCCTTCTTCCCAGTAAGAGCTGCTTTTAATAGTAGTAGCTCACCCTGGTAGTGAAGGGTAACCAAGATTTGGACCGGGAACACGTGCAAGGAAAATAGTTCCACAGAAGATGTACATGCCCTTAACTATTTAACATCACACTTTGGTGATAGGTTTGAAGCAGCATTTGTGTGCACACAAACACAGGATAAAATGCACAAATGGAGGGTTGGAATGAGCGGATACTTACAAACATGGGCTTGGTTGGTACATGGTCAGACTCCACGTAGGGGTTTTTATACAGCCACATTTCTTCAGGCTGGATGACTCGCTGGAATGGAGGCAGAACTTCAGTGATCCTGGGGAAAGCACAGTCCGGAATGAGCACAGGCAGATTTGACTTGCAAGAGCAACTAAGATGATCCAGGGGCTGGAGCAACTCCCCTGTGAGGAAAGTGCAACAGCTGAGATTGTTTTGCTTAGCAAAATGGCAAGTCAGGGCACACGTGACAAAGGCCTGCAGAATTATGCATGGTGGCAAAGCAGAGAGAGAGAGAGACATTTTTCTTCCTTTCTCTTCCTGCTAGAAACTAAAGGAGTCATCCCCTGAATCTGATTGGTGGGAGATGCAGGAGAGAAAAGGAAAGTTCTTCTTCATGGAGTACATGTTAAACTATGGGATTCACCTCCACAAGGCACCAATTTGGATGGCTTTAAAAGGGGTTGGGCAAATTCATGAAGGCGGAGGCGGCCATCAGTGGCTACTGGGGTTCTTGGCCATATGCCACCTCCAGCATCAGAGGCAGTGTGGGTTTTTACACCGGTTGCTGGGGGGCTTGGGCAGCAGAGTGGTGGTGTGCTCAGAACCTGCCTGTCGGATCCCGTGGGCAGCTGGTTTGCCACTGGGTAAACTGGATCCTGGATTGGATGGACTGTTAGTCTGATGCAACACAGCCTTTCCCAGCAAATGTTTTCAATTTCACTTTGCATTTTGCAGTGCCAGTTAAAATCCTATTTATAAAACAGCAGAAATGTGTTTAAAATAATCATAAAGTGAACTGCAGAGATGAAGCATTTGCTTCATCGATACGCAACACTGGAAGCTGCTTTACATTGAATCAATCCCTTGGTCCATGTCACCCAGTGCTATTGGCATGAACTGGCAGTGCCTTTCCAGGGTTTCAGATCATTTCCACAGTCCTACCTGGAGATGCCACTGATCAAACCTGAGACCTTCTGTGTGCAAATCAAGTGCTCTGTTCCCTCCCTTGTGGGAACGCTGTTTCCCCCTCGCCATGTACTGAGCTTTCAGAGGGGCTGGGTTCAGGCAAACCTAATCCACTCTCAAGGGTTGGGTTGCATATGGGTTAAGTGTGGCTTACACTGCTGACATGTATTTATTACAATTGGGCTGCTGTTGAAATTGGGGTATCATTCTAAAAATCATCAAAAAACATGGGACACCTTCAGGTGAATCAGAGAAATGCAGATGTGAAGAACCAGTCTTTGAATGGCATTGAAAACCTATACAAGGTCGTCTGCACTAAGCAGATGTCTTGCAGGTGCTAGAGTGATGGGGCTACCCCCCAAAAGGTCCTGTCTGCTGTGCCTCCCCCCGCCCCAAGTTTGGCAGACCTTCCCCATGAATCTGTAAGCAGCAGCAAATAAAATCTACATCATACAAAAACATCCCTGTGGGTGCTGAACTATCTGAATCAGCCCTGGGCAGTGGCTCTTTCCTGCAGAAAGGTGTGTGCAGGCACCCCAGATCGTTTTAGACCACAAAGAGAGCCAGCATGGCATGGTGCTTAGCCATTGGACTGGGGGACCCAAGAGATCCAGGTTCTAGTCCTTGCTCAGCCATAACTTTACTAGGTGAGTTGGGCCCAGACTTGGACTCTCAGCCTAACAGACCTTAAAGGGCTGCTGTGAGGATAAAATGAAGACGTTTATGTAAGCTACCTTGGGTTCCTCGCAGGAAAAGGATGTGACATAAATATATTAAATAAATAAATAAATAAAACAAGCTACAATATGGTCCATACAGTCCATGCATGCAAAGGCACCGGAGGGCACCGATCATAAGGCAGGTTTTCCCCAAGTGCAAGCCTCGCATGTGTGCCCAGGTGCCAGAGAGCCCTCCTGCAGAGCACAGCCCTTGTATTCTGTGCAATACGGCCCAAGCTACCGCCTATGTCCACCTTACGTATGAGCCTGCAGGCTCTTCTTTTACGTAAAATACTACAACGTGCCCGGCGTTTGTCCCGTGTCTGCGGGAGGACATCCTCCATCGAGCCGGAAGGCCACGTATCTTTTATACAGCGCCGCCGCAGCGCCCAGCCTTGGAAGAGGAACTGAGCGCTGCATGTGTTACGGTACAGTCTAGGCAACCTCTCCCCACCCCACCACACCCCCCAAAAACCCCCACCCATTCGAAGCGGGGGGAATTCCGCTCCTCGCTTCTGCATCTCGCAGGCAGATTCCAGCGGAACCCGTGGGAAAATGCCGGGACCGCCTACGAGGAGCATCGCGATCCTGCGCCGGATGAGGCCGGCGACACCTCCGCCCCCGCCGCACAGACACCCGCACCCCCCCCCCCCCGCGCCCCGCTTTGCACTCACAGGAAGAGCCCCAGCAGCAGCGCGCGCACACCCACTTCCAGCAGCAGCGCCAGCCGGGCCGGCACGAGCCGCCGCATCCTCCGCTCCAGCCGCCGCCGCCGCCGCCGCCGCGGCCCTCGAGGCCCCGCCCCCGCGGAGGGGGCGGGGCCGGCGGGGCGGAGCCTCTCCCGTGCGGAGAGGGAGCCGCGTCCCTGAGCGCTGCTCGGGCGGGAGAGGCGGGACCATTTTTAAAAAAAATATATAGATTGTTCTTATAGATGATGATGATGGAGGAGGAGGAGGAGAACCACCTCGGTGGTAGAGCACCTCCTTTGCATGTAGGAGGTTCTTCGTTCTGTGCGCAGCCAAATAGAGAAGCCTTCTTTTTCTTCTGGCTACCAGAATAGTGTTCACCCGGTATGGGCAAAGCAGGGGTCTGGTGAATACGCTTGGAGGCCGTTTTCTGCAGAAACGGTGCCACCAAAGACAGGAAAAGGCCCCGTTTCTGTTTACTTCAGAGGCTTGGAATGACAGAATGGGTTCCTTTAATAAAGTGCCATCTTCACTGACACTCCTTGTTGCCGCTCGCCCTCCCTCCCCTAGGTTATCTACGCAAGTGACTGATTTGGGGAGCAAGTGACTGATTTGCCCTGTGGGATCCTGGTGTTCTTTGAATACCTACAAAACTCTCCCGCTGTAGCAGGACATGGGGCACAAGAAGTGGTGGTAGATTTCCCATGGGACTTTGGCTCTGTCGCCTTCACTGATGAGACAGTGCCACAGATTTAGAAGCAAATCTAAACATAACTAATATAAAAACTAGCACTTGAATGTCCATTTTCCTTCTTCCTTTTCTTTTTGCATCCTGTCACTCTGAAAATAAGCTGAAAGCAGGAAATCTTTCTCACCGAGTCTTTTTTTTATAAAAGTGATGCGACTTTGCAACTAGCAAACAAGAGGTTAAATTGTTTTAACAGTAAAATAAATAAGAGACAGCAGTCCTGTACTCTGGTCTTAGGCTAGTTGAGCTGAAATGCTCAAAGCAGGGGAATGCAGGGGGTTTTATGTGTCTTGGATACAAATGTGACCCCATGCTAACATTCTGTGCTGACATGCCCCAAGGTGAGTTTGAGACCTTGAGCTGGATCCATACTGAAACTGAATCAGTATTGCTAAAAATGCTACATAGAGAATCAGGAGAGGGACCTCACAGCGTGGGCCCCTTCCTGTGGAACATATTCCTTTTCTCTTGTGGAAGTCACGCCTTGGATTCAGCCCTAATAAAATGAGACCCGCACCTTCAGGCAGTCTGTGTTCAGTACAATGGCATTTATTGTGAACTTGTGATTCCTTAACTTGCTTGTTTGCCAGTTCGTTAGATGAAGTCATGATCCTTCAGCTTAGTGCTTGTGGGTTGTTGTTTTTTTAAAGAGCATTTTCCCCGCTTGTTTGTTCTTGTATTAGAATGGGACAAACAGAGCATTCTTTCTGAATTTTTGAATTTGAATTTCATGTATTTGTGCCATTCTGCTAAAGCACAGCTCCACCTAGATATATAGCAGAAAGGCAAGAAAAGTGTTCTGATCTCAGTTTGGTGACCAAACCTAAAGTAGATACAGCAATTAATGACCCCCCCCCCCAAATTTCCTGGGACAACTTCCTAAAAGCTCAATTTGAGCTGAGATAATTTTGCCTTTTGCTTTTAGCGCATTTGCTGCTTTCCATCTCTGTTCGCAATTACAAGTCCGGGAAGACTTGTGCACTCTTTTCTGGCAATGTAGTTTTAAACACTTTGTGTGTGGATACAATCCCATTTGCTTTGTGAGTCTGATTTATTCTTGTTGCAAAGCAATAATGGAATCTAATTGATCTGCTTTTCTGCTTTGCAGTATAACACTCTTAATGTCTGCGCTATAATTTGGATTTCTGTGGCTTAAATGTTTGCCTGGTTTCACTCTTGACAAATAATTTTTCTCCCTGTTCTCATTAGGGTTAGTGATAACAGCAACCCCTTTGGATGCCAGGTATGTTTTGAACCCGTTTCTCTAGAAGGGAGGGACGAAGTCAAAAGTGATGCAGACCAAAATATCAGCATACTGTAGTTTAATGGGATTTCACTTACTTCCTTTTGTCTAAAGAGTGATGTTTCAACCTTTTAAAAATGGGGACAAAAACAGTACAAAACCCAGGAAACCACATGGGAAAGGTAGAAGAGGAAGAGGCATGCTCTTTTAGGGAGAAATTATGGGTTCTGACTCCTCCTTGAGAGGAAGCTGTCCCTGCTGGCAAAACAAAAAGGGGCAGCTTTACTAGACAAGTGAATGCGACAGGTAACTCAGCTCCTCTTTGCTTCCTGCAGCAATTTTCAGAACATTTCACATTCACCAGAAATCTAAGCATTTCTGCAAAACACTGAAATAACTGCTCATGTGGGCTAGTACTGGGAACAGTGGTGATCCAGTGGAAGGTTACCAAGTTCTATTGAAGTCTGAAGTTTTAATAGTTTTTTTATATGCTCTCTTTAACCAATAATTATCCCATACACACTCCAAAATCTTTGGGGTTGGGCTCTCCATTTAGCCAGAGAAGAAACAAATCCATTACATTCCACCAGGAGAATTTTCTGAGCAATCTCAAATAGAATGAAGAGAAACCACACAAAAGCTCAGCTTTTGGATTGGGCTCTAGGCCAGAAAAAGCTGCTTTCTCCCTGCCCCACCCAGCTTCCCCTTTTTCACTGTGGCGAAGGCTAATGGATGCCATCCTGCTGATTGCTGAAGAGAAGCGGCTCAGCTTAATGGGAAGGAAAGTTCTGGGTGGTAAAGACATTAATAAAAGATTCAGCATTCATTCCTGCTGGTACCTTCTGGGGTCTTATGACTACATGTACATGACTGCTGTAGCGGATGGAAAAAGGAGAACGTGTCTTTCCATTACTGATTTTAAAAGGTTCCAAGCAAGCATGATTAGACATGCATCTCTTTTGCTGAGGGCTGCATGTTTGCTGGAGATTTAAATGGCATTTTCTTTCTCATTGTTTGCCTACTGGGTTGTTAGACTTGGGTGCTTTCTCCCCACTCCCCATCCTTCCCAAAGATTAATTGTTGCCATGTCCAAACAATTACAGTAGCCAAACAAGGTTACTGTAAGGCATCAATTGGTTTATTTCTAAACCTGGCCTGGTCAATTCCAAATTGCCAAGCAAGAGGACACACATCATCCGAAAGAGAACAAAAGAGGAAAGTAAGTGCGTGAAATGTGTGTATGCCGGGGTACAGATGTCAATGCGGATGCAAACATTCTTACCATCTAAATGGAATTGCAGTCGCTCTCACTGCAGAACAGATGAGTGTGTCCAGCTTCTGTGGATGAGCAGCTCCGAGGCCCGGTGATTCTTGGACTTTAAACTAGGACTGGGCAGCCCTTCAAACAGACGATGGGTCTCTAAATTCTGACACACGACTGCCCTGCCTAAGCCAGACACTGAATGCAGGATCTGCCTTCCATGGGTGAAAAACTCCACTCTCAAAAGGAGCTTCCCCTCAATTTGCTGGTATTCCCTGTTGCACCACAACCAAACCCATTCAATGCAATCCTCTGAGCTTCTCTGCAACATTTTCAGGGGCCTGGAGGGGCTACTGCAGAGAAGACAGAGCAGGGAAGTCCGCTTCTGCCAGCCGGCTGCACATGTCCAAGTCTGGATCCAGCACAAGAGCTGGAAACTGCAGTTTGAACTACAGATGTCCAGTTCTGTGTTGGAAGCAAAACTGGTTTGTGGACACCCGCAAATAGTAGCACTGCCCCAGTGGCCAAATTATTTTTTATGTTGTCTTGGTGGCAGTTGCTTTATGCTGAAGCTGCTCTGAAAATGTATGACCAGCTTCGAATTAATGCATCTAAGATAATCAGGATCCTGTTCTCTACATTGATATAAACCCCAGTCCCATAGAACTCAAAAATAAAAATAAAAGGAGGCAGAAAGGTGCAAAAGGAAGTCCTGGTAGATCCAACTGAGGGTCCATCTTGTCCAGCATTTGATCACAATGTGGTCTGTGGGAACCCACAGCAGCTAGCCCTTTCCACTCATGTTCCCCAGCACCTTAGGCATATTGGCTCTGGTCCTGGAGGCAGCATATGGCCATCCAGACTAGCAGTCATGGGTAACCCCCTCCTCCCTAAATATGCCCAGTGCCTTTTTGGTGGTCATCATTGAAATCTTGTGCAAGTGAGTTCTTTTGTGGAAAGATGAGCTGGGCAGAACTGCTTGGAGTGGCCATGTGTTCTCTTCTGCAGAGGACTGTTCTCTGTCTGAAGGGCTGCAAGGAGCCTCTGCCTCAGACTGCGGCAGATCTTGGGCTGCGCTTTCCTCCTGCATGGGATGGAAGAAGGCAGTGACGGTTGCTAGGCAGATTGCCCTGCCAGCCTGCCCTCGTATTCCCAGCTGCCTTGCTGCTGTGCTTCTGCTTCGCAAATGCAATTACCCGGCCTCATTGCATCTGTGCTCCGCTGGGTGCTCCTGAGGCCTGCGTGCATGCGTGTGTGGGGGGGACAGGGCAGGAGATAAAGCTGGAAGGAGGCAGCACCAGGGCTGCACTGTGATATCCTTTTCTCTCCAGGCTTGATGTCACCCTAGGTTTTCTGTAGCTAGGAGGCTGTGCAAGAGATCCTTTGGGCCAGAGCTGCTCTGAGGGTCGGCAAGGTTGGGCACGTGCCAAGGGGCCTCTTTACCACTGCAACCCACTTGCTCATTCTGCCCCCAAATGCAGAATGAGAGAGAGAGGGGGGGGGGAAGGGCAAATACCACTGCCCAGTCCACCCTGGTTCTGTGTCAGTCATGAGCCAGGGGCAAGAGCGATGGTGGCCGGAGACAAGGTTGGCGAAAAGGCAGAGGGAGGGTGCCCATGGAGGGTGGCTTGGCCAAGGCGCTGCTTCAGGCCGATGTCCCCACAGAGCCCTATAGCAAGTGTGGGAAGACTGGAAGTCAGTGGGATCAACTTCATGATTTTATGCAAACCCCCAAGGACCAGCCAAAGGCAGGTAAATGATCATTAGGGAAAAGGGTGGCACTGAGCAAACCTTCAGGGCAGGAGGGGTTTTTC